GAGACTCTGTTTCAAAAAAAAAAAAAAAAGATATTAATCAGAGACAGACAATGGAAAAAAAGTATCAGCTTTGGAGTTAGACAAATAAGAGGTTTGATCCCCATCTGCTACTTACTCACCATGCAAGGATGTTAATGGCTGCTGTTTTCCATTAGCAAAATGTTGGGACCTAAAAGTCCACATTTTTGAGTTTCCATTTCTTCATAAAGTATAATTTATAGAGTTAGGTTTGCTGAATACAATAGAAAACTAAAAACAGTGGCTTTAAATATGACAGATGTTTAATTTTCTCTCATGTAGTTTGGGGGTAGACAGCTCAGGGATGGTATGGTGACTTAATGGATGTTGGGGACCCAGGCTCTTATTCTGTTCCACCATCTCACCGTGGGACTTTCATTTTCACAGTTATGTCATGATCCAAGATGGCTGCTGGAGCTTCAACCATCACATCTGTGTTGCAGGAAGAGGAGAAAAGGCAGAAAGGCAAAAAAGAGTCCCCTTTCAGATCTACTAGATTACTTTTTTTTTTTTTTTAACGTTTACGTTCAGGTATATGTGCAGGTTTGTTATACGGGTAAGTGGCATGTCATGGGGATTTGGTACACAGATTATTTCATCTTCCAGGTAATAAGCATAGTACTTGATAGTTTTTTGATCCTCACCCTCTGCCCACACCCTACCCTCAGGTAGGTTCCAGTGACTGTTGTTCCCTTCTTTGTGTCCATTTGTACTCAGTGTTTAGCTCCCACTTATAAGTGAGAACATGTGGTACTTGGTTTTTTGTTCTTGTGTTAGTTTGCTTAGGACAATGGCTTCCAGCTCCAGCGATGTTGCTGCAGACACGATCTCGTTCCTTTTTTTTTTTTTTTTTAAGACAGTCTCACTCTGTCACCCAGGGTGGAGTGCATTGGTATGATCTTGGCTCACTACAACCTCTGCCTCCTGGGTTGAAGTGATTCTCCTGCCTCAGCCTCCTGAGTAGCTGGGATTACAGGCGCCCGCCACCATGCCTGGCTAATTTTTGTATTTTTAGTAGAAATGGGTTTGCACCATGTTGGCCAGGCTGGTCTGTTGACCTCAGGTGATCTGACCACCTCGGCCTCCCAAAGTGCTGGGATTACAGGCATGAGCCACTCACTGCACCCGGCCTCTTTTCTATGGCTGGAAATTAGTTTGTCCATTGTGAAAGAGAGTGTGGTGATTCACATAAAAGTAGAAGTCTAAGAATCAAACTGTAAGTCTGACTCTACCTGCGTCTTTAATCCTTCTAATATAATATTAAACAGGACAAATTATAAACAAAAAGAGTCTAGAATTCTATCATCCTGGCAAAACATACTCCATTTTGCATATTGCTTTCAGGTAAGTAACGGTTTGATATATTGTTGCAATTAAGTGTGTGTATCACTTTGCCCTTTGCAGTTTTCACTTTGTGAAATATCATAAACATTTTTCATACTTTGAATTTTTCCAATCACTTTATCTTTTTGATGTCACATTATTAGACCTGTGTTATGATGACTTTTAGGTCCCAACTTTTTGCTAATGAATGGAAAACAGCAGCCATTAACGTCTTTGCATTTTTTGTTACTATTATTTTTGTATTAAACTTTTACCTGTGGAAATAAAGGCTTGAAAGATACTAGTATCTTATGGTATTTGTCACATATTGCAATATTATTTTCTAAAAGATTGTACCAACTTACACTGCCACCTGTAATAAATTAGTTGTCCTCATTTGTATGCCTTTGGATACTTGTAGCTTACCTTCCAGTTATGAGCGACACACAATGTTTAGTTTTTCATTCCTGAGTTACCTCACTTAGAATAACGGTCTTCAATTCCATCCGGGTTGCTGTGAATGTCTTTTTATTTTGTTCCTTTTTATGGCTGAGTAGTATTCCATGGTGTGTGTGTGTGTGTGTGTGTGTGTATATATGTATCACTTTTTTTTAAAAGACGGAATTTCACTCTTGGTGCCCAGGCTAGGGTGCAATGGCACGATCTTGGCTCACCACAACCTCCACCTACCAGGTTCAAACAATTCTCCTGCCTCAACCTCCCAAGTGGCTGGGATTACACACATGCACCAACATGCCCAGCTAACTTTGTAATTTTTTTTTTTTTAGTAGAGACAGGATTTCTCCATGTTGGTCAGGCTGATCTCAAACTCCTGATCTCAGGTGATCCACCCGCCTCGGCCTCCCAAAGTGCCGGAATTACAGGGGTGAGCCCAGCCAGATATTTTCATACCATAATATGACTTCTGGCCTGACTTATTCGGTTCACAACTCCAGGTAAGTCATCACAGTGGGGTAGGAATATTCCTGGAAGCTATTCCTACACCAAGAAGTCTATGAATAACTTAAATATATATGGCTTAAGTATATATATGGATTAAGTGCCATCGACCCACATAAATAGAAGACACAAGCCCAAACTAAATGCAACATCAACTCCATTTCCCCATAGTGGAATCCCTAAATGCCTATGCCTATTTCACTGCCACTAGGCAGGAAGGGAAGTGTATTGGAGGGACAGTTGGAGGTTCTCAAGAGCTGATTGCTAAATATTCAGCTACTTTGTGATCTGCATGTTAAACTGTTGGTAGCTTGAATTCGGTAATTGTGGGAATATTAACACCCTGGAAATTGGCAAATGGTACAAATCAGAGCTCTCTTTTTCTAAGGTTTATCAGCAGACCACCAAGTAGAAAGTAGTCATATCTGATTGCAGCTAAAATATCTTACTTTTGTAGATCTACCATTTGATCCGGCAATCCCATTCCTGGGTATCTACCCAGAGGAAAAGAAGTCATTATACAAAATAGATACTTGCACATGTGTGTTTATAGCAGCACAATTGTAATTGCAAATATATGGAACCAGCCCAAATGCCCATTAATCAATGAGTAGGTTAAAAAAATGTGGTATAGGCCTGGCGCTGTGGCTCACACCCATCATCCCAGCACTTTGGGAGGCCGAGGCGGGTGGATCAGCTGAGGTTTGGTGTTTGAGACCAGCCTGACCAACATGGAGAAATCCTGTTTCTACTAAAAAAAAAAAAAAAAAAAAAAAAAAAATTACAAAGTTAGCTGGGCATGGTGGTGCATGTGTGTAATCCCAGCTACTTGGGAGGCTGAGGCAGGAGAATTGCTTGAACCTGGTAGGTGGAGGTAAGCTGGGAATTCCAAGATCAAGGTGCCGGCAGATTCAGTGTGTGGGGTAGCCCCACTTTTTGGTTCATAGATGGTGCCTTCTTGCTGTATTCTCTCATGGAAGAAGGGGCAAGGCAGCTCCCTGTAGCCTCTTTTCTGAAGGCACTAATTGTACATGAGGGTTCCTGCTAATGATCTAATCACCTCCCAGAGGCCCTACCTCCTAACACCACCACACTGATGACTAGGTTTCAATGCAAACATTTTATGTGGAGAGAAACATTCAGACCATAGCAGTAGTGAAAGAGAAAAGAAGTTTGAAATGCCTAGAGTTATAAGTGGACGTGTGGGAAGTGATCAGCCATGAAATTGTTAAGGTAAGGATTTGGTTCTTACTGATGCCTAGCCAACATGGTTCTCTCCTGTTTAGAATAAACTTGATAATAAAGCTATAAAAGTTCCACCAGTTTTTAAAAGGGAAGTGGAGGCATAAATCTGTTGTAGTACTTTAGGAAGTTATGTCTACATGTGAATTACTACATGTTAGGTATCACAACATATGGATACACAACATGATATTAAATGATTATGAAGCTGAAAGACATTTTCTAAACAATTAGAAATTAAGAAACAAGTATTGATCAACCATGCTGGAGGACAGACTGAGTTATCTTTACATCCTCTTTGGAGAAAATATTACGAAATTGTTGTCACATGAAGAAGGGATCAATAAGCATGTGGGCAATAATTTAGGAAAAAATACAAATGTGTAGCAGGCATTATTGAATAAAAGTGTTATACCTCTTTGGAAAGAGATAAAATGAGATGTATACATTACAGCCATTGTACCATACACAAAAATTGAATGCCCTTTTTGTTTTTCATAACGTTGAAATTTTGTAGGAGTTCAGGCCAGGTGTTTTGTAGATTGTCCTACTTTTTTTTTTTTTTTTTTTTGAGATGGAGTTTCACTCTTGTTACCCAGGCTGGAGTGCAATGGTGCGATCTCGGCTCACCGCAACCACTGCCTTCCGGATTCAAGAGATTCTCCTGCCTTAGCCTCCCGAGTAGCTGAGATTACAGGCACTCGCCACCATGCCTGGCTAATATTTGTATTTTAGTAGGGATGGGGTTTCACCATGTTGGTCAAGCTGGTCTCGAACTCCAGACCTCAGGTGATCCACCCACCTCGGTCTCCCAAAGTGCTGGAGTTACAGGCGTAAGCCACCGCGCCTGGCCTAGATTGTCCTACATTTTGAATACATCTGATTGTTTCTTCGTGGTTAGATTCAGGTTAGACATTTTTTTTTTTTGGGCTGAGTCTCGCCAGGTTAGACATTTTTTGCAAGAAGACCACATAGGCGAAGTTGCTCCTTTTTCATCAGGAGGCATATGAGGTCAGCTTACCATTTATCGGTAACGCTACTTTTGGTTATTTGGTTAAGATGGTGCATATATCTTTAAGTTGTTAATCACACAGCTACTGTATTCACACTGTTGAGAAACAAACTATCAGGCAAAACTTAGAGCGCGCAGCAGGAGGCAGTCGCTTTCCCAGGCTCTAGGGAAAATGATCCAGCCACGCCCACTCACCTGCCCGCCCGCACCTCTTTTCCGGGAAAATCGGCTCTGAGAACCAGAGCGTCTTTTCTCCCACGCGCCCAAATCTTTTCCCATCAGCATGCGTGCGCTTGCGCAGTCTTCAGGCGGTGCCTTTCTTGCGCCCGACCGCTTCTTTCTCCTGCTCTCCTCTGGCTTCCCCTTAGCTCTAGCTTTTCCCCATGGGGTCATCACAGGGCGCCAAACGCGCGCCCGCGGGAAGGCCAGGGGCGGGGCGCGGTGGCGTGCGGCACGTCAGTAGCCTTCCGGGCGGAAGTCCGCAGCCTCCTGAGCCGCTGATTGGCTTTCACGCTGGCGCCGGTCTGGGTCCCCGCGCCAGTTTCGGGCTGGTTGGCGCGGAATCGGGACATTTGGGACCATGGCGCCCGTGCACGGCGACGACTGTAAGATAGGGGCGAGTGGTGAGGGACAACTCCGCGCGCGGGGCACCGGGTTGGGACCGTGGCGTGATTGCCGGTGGTGGGGGTTCTGAGGGACTCTGCATTTTTTGTGAGGGAGGCGCACGCCGGGTCTGTTTGGGCGCAGACCTTGGTCATCCCGGGCGGGGGCCCTTCTAGCGTCGGACCAGGCTTCCTTTAGGCGCGGTTTGCTCTTGGCAGACCCTAGCTTGGACGGATTTGTTTGGGAGGCTGTCTCATCTCTGCTACTGAGAGTCTCCACAGTCTATTGCGTTTCTATTTTGGTGAGTTGCACCCTCGTGCTGGGTATAACTTTATTGAGATTGGCCCCGTGGGGCACTGTCTTGGCCGAAAGTATTTCACTGCGATCACCTTAAGTATCCACTTGAGGGCTTGAACAGAACGGATCTGTGCACCCTTTTGTAGCAACTTCCAGGAATATTTTATACATTGTAACTAAGCAGGAAAGAAAGCTCTAAGTGCTGTCATCGGGTAAAAACACGTTTTGTATTTTTAGGTAATGGGTTTCTACTTTATGCATTAACAATTTTTGTTTCAAATTCTTCTCTGGAAAGTAAGTGCTGCGTAGAAATACTGTTCACAATCTAGTAATTCCTGGTGAAGTTAAAAAAAAAAATAGCATCAGTTCAGGGCATTTCGGATGCCCTGTACATCACTCCATTTGTCAGGGGTATCTTTTATTTCCAAAAATAGAATACAAAAATGCAAATAGATTTGCCTGATTTCTGATTTTTGAACAGTGTTCAACTAAAGTGTGACTTAACTTCAGTGAACTTCTAACTTAAAATCAGATGCTTCACTTTGTTAGCTCAAGCATCACCTCTCCTGTCATTAAGATACATCACCATTAATGAGAACTCGCTTCCTAATCAGCTTCCTTTGCATTCACCTAGTTGTGAATCACAGATTTCAATTGGTTCTAGCCGTTCAATTTTTAAGACTATTTGAGAGTCGACCTGCCTGGATTACAGAGAGGATGTAGGGTGTGAGTATGCAAACAGTCTTTGCAGTCCTCTATCAGTGATTTGCCCCGAGCCCTTTCTTCACCCTAAAAACTGTATGTCATCTGTGAACATCAAGAAATCACTCTGGAGGATGCTGTGCAATCTTGAGACTCCTCTTAAGTTATGGTGTTGATTAAGTAGTTGCTGGGGACTTGTGACTGGAATTTTTCCTTTAGGGGAGACTGAAAGATTGTTACCTCAAAGACTGCTGTAAGCTAGTGTCTGTCTGCGTTTGGGGAGGATGGAGGTACTCCAGATGGTAATTTTGGAACAAATATTTAAACCTTTGTAAATGGATTTTTTTTTCATGCTTATTCTCATTGGAGAATGCTTCACTTAGGCAAGTTAGCAAAAAGAAAATGTAGGCTGTTTTTTCTTCAGTATTAGAAGATACTTAGATACTTAGCAGATACTTAGATACTTAGAAGATACTTAGAAGCACCTTGACAATAGCAATGAAAAGTTGAAAGGTCAATAGCTAGTGGTTATTATACATGAAAAAAGATCGCGGAAAATTTCTTTTTTTTTTTTTTTTTTGTTGTTGTTGTTTTGAGATGAAGTTTCCCTCTTGTTGCCCAGGCTGGAGTGCAATGATGCGATTTCAGCTCACTGCAACCTCTGCCTCCAGGTTCAAGAGATTCTCCTGCCTCAGCCTCCCAAGTAGCTGGGACTACAGGTGCCTGCCGACCCCAACCGGCTAATTTTTCATATTTTTAATAGAGATGGGGTTTCATCATTTTGGCCAGGCTGGCCTTGAACTCCTGTCCTCAGGTGATCCACCTATCTTGGCCTCCTAAAGCGCTGGGATTAAAGGCGTGAGCCACCGTGCCTGGCCAGGGCAAGTTTAATGATCAAAAAAGCAGGTACAGTAGTTTATTCATTGATTCATTCAGCAAATTTTTATTATTTACCTACTAGGTACAAGCATTCTGCCAGGCTCTGGCATTACGATGGTTTGTCTTCATGGAGTAGAGATGGTAAACATATAATCATATGCAGAAAATGGCTTTGCTTTGTTTTTGGCCTCTGTATCTAGACCTTGGTACTCTTAGGTGTGGTGTGTGTGGGGTATGTATATGTGTGTTTGACTTCACACAGAAACATTACATGTGCTGCTCCTATATTGCTAAGTGCAAAGTAAGATAGGCATCCTCATGTAATCCTTAACAGCTTTTGAAGCAGACACGATTATCCCCATTTCACAGATGTGGACTCCAAGGTTCTGCATCAGTCAAAGTCCTTAGTTGTAAGCTGCAGGAACCAACTCTAGCAGATTGGTTAGAATTTATTAGAAGAATATTGTGTTCACAGAAACTTCAGGAGGACTAGGAAGCCAGTCTGGGAGCTGCTTAGGCAGGAACAGTGAATGAAATTGTGCCACAAAAATGGGCCAGTGAGAAGGTCATTGCCAACCACGACCAAGTACTTGATGCTATAGCTTATACCTTAGGACATTGCTGGCACTGTTACCAGTTTCTTAATCCTCCTGCAGCTGTTGCTACTTGTAGGCTCTTTTAAAACTCATGCCCCCTTCCTTGTGACACTAGCTTCTGATTTAATGTCTGAGCAGGTGTTCCTAATTGGTAGAGCGTATTTTATATGCCCAGGCCCTAGGCTGCAAGGGTGTCTAGGAAAGAGAATCAGCCTTTTCAGCTTCTGTAATGGGACATAGCCTCTGCGTCCCATCAAGACTTATAAGGGATGGGGGCCGGATTTCACAGACAGTTTCAGATGCTGGGCAGCTTAAAACAAGACAGCTGTCTGCTGCTTAAACTAGTTAACCGGTGTTCTCATGTCACCTAGTAAATGGCAGAGCTGGAATGTGCTGCTGCTCCCTAATCTGGTGCTGGTATTCATTCTACACTCTATTGTTGAGTTTGCCTTGCATGCTGACGTCTCTCAGTTTCTGAATACACCGTGTATTTTCATCCCTTGTAATCTGGCTCATGCTTCTTCTTTTGTCTGTGTCACTTTTTACCTTGTTCTCTGATTGTGAAATTCTACTCCTTTTTCTAGGCCTGTATTGGAAACCTCTCCTGTGAAGCCTTCCTTGATTTCTCAGGCAAAATTAACAGCTCTCCTCTGTACATTTCTTCAGTACTGAGTTCTTACCTTTTCTATGGCACCATGGTTATATTGTGATGGCAATTTCAGGCACTTTGCTTTACTTGACTGGGAGCCCCTTGTGGACAGGCAGCTCTGTCTTATTTGTAATTGTACCCTAAACCCTGTGTAGTGGAATGTTGTTGCCTGTGGAGTAAGTCCATTTGAAGACCTGTAGATGTCAGGTGTCAAGGGAGTCTTGAAGGGAATACACTTGAGGTTAGCTTTTCACTTTCAGGGGTCACGTTGAGTAATCTTCGAAGCCTTTTCATGTAGGCCTGTTCACGATTTTTGAAATCATTTGAGTGACATCTAAGTTTTTGTGGCTGTCATCATTAAGTACCTTTATTCCTTAATGTCTTTCTGAAAATGGATTTAAAAGTCAAATGTGAAAGTCAAACAATAGAGTGAGATGTTATAGAGATTCCATTTCTAGAAAGCTAGAAAAAAATAAGATCTCTAATTATGCTTCACCTTTAAGCTATAGTCTCCAGCAGTTTATTGCCAGCACTTGGTACATGTTCTTTAAATTGTATCTTCTATTTCAGTCAAACACTTAGTCAAGCAGCTTGATGTTGTTATGAACATTCTAGGGGGTTGGAATTTTAGGCTGCCTCTTATCCATACGTCTCCTTTTCTGTGCCTGCTCCTTTTTATAAATTAATTAGCACCAAACACAATAAAATACTGAATTTCACAGACATAGATGGCAATCATGCTGAGCCTAAACTCATGGCTGACAGGCAGCGCTGTTATGCTTGACTTAGTCATTCATCAGTGGGTATATGAAAGTCTTTAATTCTGTGGATGAATTTTTTTTTTTTTTTTTCTGAGAGTCTTGCTCTGTCACCCAGGCTGGAGTGCAGTGGCACACTCTCGGCTCACTGTGACCTCTGCCTCCTGGGTTCAAGGGATTCTCCTGCCTCATCCTACGGAGTAGCTGGGATTGTAGGTGCCTGCCACCATGCTCAGCTAATTTGTGTATTTTTAGTAGAGATGGGGTTTCAACATGTTGGTCAGGCTGGTCTCAAACTCCTCACCTCAGCTGATCCACCTGTCTCGGCCTCCCAAAGTGCTGGGATTACAGGCATGAGCCGCTGTGCCCGGCCGAAATATTTTTAGTATGTGTGTGGAAAGGTCAGTTTATGATGACCAGAGCATGAATAAGTCAAAAGTTGAATGAATAAACACTGAAGTCCTCCGATATTTCAGTAATTTTTGACAAACAATTTTAGTCTCTGTAGTTGTTTTACTAACGTCCTGTGTCATAACCAGTTGAGGCCTTGAAATAAGTGACATATCGAGAATCTCCTCAGAGTCATCTTTGTTAAATTTCTCCAGTCCTCAATGCATTCCTTCTTTGAATTTCTGGGTACTTTGTCTGTACCTCTTTTAAGGTGTGTATTACCTCTGAATATTGTTTAGAGCTAGTTGCTACTTGTCTCCCATGTTAGTAAGTTCTTTGAGTACAGAGACCATGTCTTTTTTATCTTGGTTATTTAATTATTTTTTGAGATGGAGTTTCGCTCTTTTTGCCCAGGCTGGAGTGCAATGGCATGATCTTGGATCACTGCAACCTCCACCTCCCAGGTTCAAGTGTTCCTCCTGCGTCAGCCTCCCAAGTAGCTGGGGTTACAGGCACGTACCACCATATCTGGTTGGCCAGGCTGATCTTGAACTCCTGACCTCAGGTGATCTGCCCGCCTCAGCCTCCCAAAGTGCTGGGATCACAGGTGTGAGCCACCGTGCCTGGCCTGTCTTTGTGTCTCATAGTGCCTAGTACTTTGCAAAGAGTACATGCTCCTTGAAGCCTTTTAGATGTTGATTAATAGAATACAAGATTAATAGTTCTTTTATAACCCACTGGATTATTTCTGGCTGGTCATTTCATTTTTTTTTTTTTTTTTTTTTTTTTGAGACGGAGTTTCACCCTTGTTACCCAGGCTGGAGTGCAATGGCGCAATCTCGGCTCTCTGCAATCTCCGCCTCCTGGGTTCAGGCAATTCTCCTGCCTCAGCCTCCTGAGTAGCTGGGATTACAGGCACACGCCACCATGCCCAGCTAATGTTTTGTATTTTTAGTAGAGATGGGGTTTCACCATGTTGACCAGGATGGTCTCAATCTCCTGACCTCGTGATCCACTCGCCTCGGCCTCCCAAAGTGCTGGGATTACAGGTGTGAGCAACCGCGCCCGGCTCCTGGCTGGTCATTTCTAATGGAAAGGTGATAAATTAGCTAACCACTGATCTCCCTTGTTTAGTGTCTCCGCAGGGTATCAGTTGAATTGGGAATTTTCCTCTTTTTGGAGAAAAAAATAACAGTGGCTTTAATTGTTTTAACAGGAACTTTCTGGAGAGTCATGTATATTTGGATCTGTATATTTGGCCATGAGCTTTGTGAATTATTTACATTATAAAAATTACTGGTATAATATTAAAATTGAATGTTATTGTTGGCTAGAAACTTTTCCTTTGTGTTTGAGGGAGATGGCTGACAATTTTGTAACATCTCTTGTAAATTTTTTTTTTCAGCTGTGTCAGATTCAGGGAGTTTTGTAGCTTCTCGAGCCCGGCGAGAAAAAAAATCAAAGAAGGGGTGCCAAGAAGCTCTAGAAAAACTGAAAAAGGCTAAAGCTGGTGAGAAGTATAAATATGAAGTAAGCAACCATTTTTCCTCTTTATTCCTCCTGTGCTTCATCTAATTCATAGCCTGCAGGTAGTCTTATGTCACCTTTGCCCTGGATTAGAAATACTCATATATTTTAAACTTGTATCAGGAATTGAACAAACATGGGTATGAGGTAGAATTCCTATAAGATATTTTACAGATGATTTTAAAATTCCAAAATGAAAGTACATAGCCATATCTGTATTTTTCCTTATTGAGCAAGCAGTATCTATGGTAAGTCCCATAGGTTTGTTGGGGTCATTTAGAGGTGCGTTTACTTACTCTTAAGGTATTGAGCAGTCTAGCTAAGCAGTACTTGGAGAGAACTGCTTTTCCTTATCTCATTTGCAAGGGTAGTGGCAGTGGAAACTTGGACCTTAACTTCTGCCATGTCCTGCTTGTAAGATTGAATGTGATGCTCTTTTGATTTTCCTCTACCCACTGTTTATGGCTTGCAGGTAAAAAACAGAGTGACCACCATCTGCATAATACTGTCTAGCATCACCTTTAGGGTTCCCTGAGTATCTTAACTGCCTTATGGCTAGAAAATGATTAACCAATACTAGAAAATAACAACCATAATTGATACACTTTTTGAACTAACATATTATTCTAAGTGCATTTACCAATATGTTTATTCACTCTTTTTGGAGATGGAGTCTTGCTCTGTCGCCCAGGCTGAAGGGCAGTGGTGCGATCTCTGCTCACTGCAACCTCTGCCTCCCAGGTTCAATCAATTCTCCTACCTCAGACTCCTGAGTAGCTGGGACTACAGGCACGTCCCACCATGTCTGGCTAATTTTTTTTTTTTTTTTTTTTTTGTATTTTTAGTAGACATAGGGTTTTGCTGTGTTGCCCAGGCTGGTTTTGAACTCCTGAGCTCAGGCAGTCCGCCTGCCTCGCCTCCCAAATTGCTAGGATTACAGGTGTGAGCCATGGTGCCCGGCCTGTGTTTATTCATTTAATCTTTTCAGTAACCAAATGAAATTAGATACTATGATTAACAACATTTTGAAGGTGAGTTATCTGAGGCACAGAAAGTTTAATGAGGCCACAGTGGCAGATACTTTTTTGATCCCAGGCAGGCTGGCTTCAAACTATGTATGTTTAACAGTTAACCAAGTAAGAGGATTTGCTATTTGTCACCATTTGTTCAAGTTAAGTGAGGCAACCAGATCATAAAAGGTTGCTAAAAGGATTACAGTAAAACAGTAATAAAGCATTTTTTTTTTTTTTTTGAGACAGAGTCTTGCTCTGTCGCCCAGGCTGGAGTGCAATGGCACAATCTTGGCTCACTGCAACCTCTGCTTTCCAGATTCAAGTGATTCTCCTGCTACTACAGCCTTCCAAGTAGCTAGGGCTGGGATTACGGGTGCCTGCCACCATGCCTGGCTAATTTTTGTATTTTTAGTAGAGACGGAGTTTCACTTGGCCTCCCAAAAGTGCTGGGATTACAGGTATGAATCACTGCTCCCAGCCGAGGTAGAACTTTTGAAAGAATGGGAGAAGTTTTTTTTAAATTTCATTCCCTTGCCCAGGCTGGAGTGCAGTGGCTCGATCATGGTTTACTGAAACCTCCTCCTCCCCAGTTCAAGTGATTCTCCTGCCTCAGCCTCGCAAGTAGCTGGGATTAGAGGCACCCACCACCAGGCCCAGCTAATTTTTGTATTTTTAGTAGAGACGGTTTTCACCACGTTGGCCAGACTGGTCTCAAACTCCTGACCTCAGGTGATCGACTCGCCTTAGCCTCCCAAAGTGTTGGGATTGCAGGCATGAGCCACCGTGCCCAGCCTGGGGTAATTTTTTAATAAAATTACAGGTGCGAACCACTGTGCCTGGCCAAGAATGGGTTTTTTTTTTTTTTTTTTTTTTTTGAGACTGAGTCTCTGTTACTTAGGCTGGAGTGCAGTGGTGCAGTCTCGGCTCACTGCAACCTCCGCCTCCTGGGTTCAAGTGATTCTCCTGTCTCAGCCTCCCGAGTAGGTAGCTGGGACTACAGGCATGCACCACCATGCCTGGCTAATTTTTGTATTTTTAGTAGAGATGGGGTTTCACCATGCTTTTGAGGCTGGCCACGAAATCCCGACCTCAGGTGATCCACCTGCCTCGGCCTCCTAAAATGCTGGGATTACAGGCGTGAGCCACCGAGTCCAGCCTGGGGTATTTTTTTTTTTTTTTTTTTTCCTGAGACGGAGTTTCACTCTTGTTACCCAGGCTGGAGTACAATGGCGCAATCTCGGCTCACTGCAACCTCCGCGTCCTGGGTTCAGGCAATTCTCCTGCCTCAGCCTCCTGAGTAGCTGGGATTACAGGCAAGTGCCACCATGCCCAGCTGATTTTTTGTATTTTTAGTAGAGACGGGGTTTCACCATGTTGACCAGGATGGTCTTGATCTCTTGACCTCGTGATCCACCCGCCTTGGCCTCCCAAAGTACTGGGATTACAGGCGTGAGCCACCGCGCCCGGCCAACCTGGGGTATTTTTAAATAAGTATCTATGAGACCTTGCAAACCAGCCCACCAGAGCTTCATCTAGAAAGTCACTGGCTGGTCCCCATGGGCAGCTGCAGCAGTGGCGTGTATCTTTCATTTGTTGCTTTAGCTGTTCATAGATGGTCTGCTTTACTGATACCAATAGCTCATGGTGTTGTGACCTTCTGGCAGTCAGGCAGCCAGTATGATCAGAGGACTTGCCACTCTCTGGGCTTGCCTTTCAAATAGCTCACCATTTAAGTCCCTGTGCAGTTTCAAGACCTGAGAATGGTGGGGGATCAGTGGTAATAGAAACAGGGTGACTCAAAAACCATTTCTAGTTTGCCTGTAAAATATACAATATGTTTGTTTTGCTAACTTTTGGAGGGGTTTGGATGAGGGAGATTTTCCTTTTGAATTATATTTGGTTGGTTGAACAGGCGTGAAAATTATCATCACTTCGCAGAGCATACATCAGCTAGTGGAGAGGGAAGTGGCATGCCTTACAGGTTTGCTAAGTATAGGAGAAACCAGTCTAGAAATTACAAGTGAATAATCCCCAAAGCAGCTAATGAAGAATTGGCTATAATTCAGTTTGTTTTTTATGAAATAGATGAGTAATTGATGGTGTGACAAGTGTATTATGCTAATGGAATCATTTAATATCTTATGTTAACACCCACCTAAAAGGAATACTAAGTTAATTGATGTCTATTTAAGGAAAACCCTGTAGTGGTGTTGAATGTCAGAACTCAAGATTTGGTTGCAGCTACTCCTTCAGGCTGCCATTCCAGTTTCAATTTGACAATTTTTTCATCAGAATTGTTTAACACTTTCACTCCATTTGAAGCTTTTTTTTTTTTTTTTTCCCTGAAACTTGTATAATGGCAGGTTGAGGACTTTACAAGTGTTTATGAAGAAGTTGATGAAGAACAGTATTCGAAGCTGGTTCAGGCACGCCAGGATGATGACTGGATTGTGGACGACGGTAGGCGGGGGGATGTTGCTTCCCAGGCATTGTGTTAGGCGCTTCTTGTAGATTCTCATGTGGTGGAGTTGCTGCTTTGCCTGGGCAAATGTAAAACACTGTTAGGATCTTTGGTTTGGATTTTCCTTTAATTATTTGAGGATGAAGAAGCAGAACAGTAGGATGTTTTTTTGGGGATATTTAGGATATCCTCAAGGATATAGTATGAATACCTCAGGATATAGTATGAATCCTCCAGGTAATGGCTGTGTAGAATTGTGAGGAGCTCCTTGTCTGTGGGGCCAATGCACCACACTTGGAATTAAGGAATGCCAGTTCAGGATCCATCTTTCCTGCTTTCTAATCCTATGTACGACCTTGGACAAGTCACTTGATCTCTGCACCTCAGATTCTTCATCTGTAATACGGGGATAAGAAAACTACCTTCTCCCAGAGCTGCTGTGAAGAGTGTATGAGGTTCTAGGTATGAAAATGAACTTGGTCAGTAGAAAGCACCGTACAAAGGCTGGTCCTAATGTTCCTGTGCCCCTTCTGAGAGCTCAGTGGTTCTCACTTGTAGGGTCTGACTTCTTGGCCATGTGAATTCTGACCACAGGGAGCATATAGATTGTGCCTGTGACTATTTATGTTTATACTTCTGTAATTGAATTCAGCTATATGGCCAGTTTTCCCTTGTAGACTGGGATGTCTCTGGGCTAGTGGTAATCTTGATTCTTTTACTTTTTATTCTTCTGGTAGAGTAAAATTGCTGTAAAGCATCCTATTGTGGCAGACTTTGATCTATGGGCCAAATCGTTTCCTGAGTTCACCCTGCTAGGTATAATATATATCCTTTGGTTTTTGACTCCATACCTGCTGTGTGGATGCTGTGCATTGTCTGACACCTGTGTGAACAGAATTCTGCTACACTTAAAAATAGTACAGGCCATGAAAACATATGAGCAGGTATAAAAGGTTTTTTTGGTCATGGCTAAAATATTATTGGCCACTTTTAGAAATTTGATCCCAGTATTAAATTTTGTCCCTGCAGATGGTATTGGCTATGTGGAAGATGGCCGAGAGATTTTTGATGATGACCTTGAAGATGATGCCCTTGATGCTAATGAGAAAGGTATCTACCTTTTGTTTTCCATGGTGTTGTTTTGAGATTTAAATAAATCTTTAAGATTGGAGATGACTTAGTTCCCTGATAGTTTCCCTTTGAGAGAAGGACCTACTACCGTTATTTTTAGGTACAGAATATGTCCTAATATGGAGAGAAGCATAGTTATGTGGAAAATTAAACATAAAAAGCAGAAACAACACCAGGAAATGAAGTTTTATGTCTCTATTATTCAAGGAGTTTGGTCTTCACTTATTTTGAAGTTTTCAGTCCTGTGGTCATTTAAAACTTGCTGATTTTGAGGGCTGCAACAGTGATCTCTTTTAATTCCTACTGAAGTGATGTACTTAGAATTTTAGCTCTTTGATAATTGTATAGCACAGTAACAAGGTTTAGAACTGGAGTAATCAACTTGCTTTGTATAATTGAAATTTAAAATACTATGGATGAATGTGTCAGATTGTCTTAGCTGTACAATCATTGGCAATTTTTTTTTCTTGAGTAAACAAGGCTGATTTAGTTCCTGTAAAATGAGAATGGAAAATTATCTTCAGTATTTTTTTTTGTTTAGTTTGTTAATTAGTCTTCTACTACCAAGTGGTAGATTGGGGGTTAGCAAACTATGGCCCACTCACAACCAGTTTTTTAAAAAAACGTTTTGTCGAGATATAATTCACATGTAAAATATGCAATTCAGTGGCTTTTAATGTAGTCACAGTTTGTACAGCCATAACCACAATCAATTTTAGAACATTTTTGTTACCCCAAAAGGAAATCATGCCTGTTTTTGTGTGGCCCTCGAGCTAAGAATAGTTTTTACATTTTTAAAGGGTATTTTAAAAATAAAGAAAAAATGCAAAGAATATGTAGCAGTGTAAGACAGATTTATGTGCACGAAGCCTGTCTGGATCTTCATTTGCAGAATAACATTTTGCAGCATTAGTTTTCTCTCTCCTTCCAGCCACATACACAGAGACTTTTTTGCTCAGTGAACTTTTTGAACTTTAGCAATGACCTCCTAAGAATAAGGATACTTGACTACTTAACCATAATAACATTATCATGGTATTTTCTAATATATTGTCTATATTAAAAGTTCTCCAATTAGCCCAATAGTGTCTTTTAAAGCTATTTTTTAAAAATGCAGAATTGATTTTAGTTTTGAAGTCTCTTTAGTCTTTTTTAGTGTAGAACAGCAACACCTCCCTCCGCCCCCGGTCTCTTTTTGTGTTTCATGACATAGATTTTTAAAGGGATCAGGCTGGTTGTTTTGTTGAACATCCCACAATCTGAGCTTTGCCTGACTGCTTCGTTGTGCTTAGATTTGAGTTAAATATTTTGGCAACAATAAATAGTTACTTATTTTTTGAGACAGAGTCTCACTCTGTCGCCCAAGCTGGAGTTCAGTAGCACAATCTTGACTCACTATAACCTCTGCCTCCAGGGTTTAAGCGATTCTCCTGCCTCAGCCTCCTGAGTAGCTGGGACTACAGGCATGTGCCACTGCGCCCGGCGAATTTTTTGTATTTTTAGTAGAGACAGGGTTTCACCGTGTTAGCCAGGATGGTTTCGATCTCTTGACCTTGTGATCCACCCGCCTTGGCTTCCCAAAGTGCTGGGATTACAGGCGTGAGCCACTTCGCCCAGGCTGTAAATATCTATTTATATGTTTAAAATAAGTTTTGTCAACACCTACAATATAAATAAAGTTCTGTCCTTCCCACTGATCATAACAGGGACGTTTGTCACTTGTACCATTATTGTTGATACTAAGTTTGATCTTTTGGTTAAGATTATGTTTGTCAGATTTCTTGCTTATAAAGCTACTTTTTTCCCTTTTGTAGTTAATGCAAAATAGAGGGTGATAATTTGAGACCATGTGTATATCTCATTTCCCCATGAATTTTTACCCACTGCTTTTAGCATCTATTGGCGATCTTTTCCCTTCTTTTAAAAGTTATTGCTTCAGACTCATGGATTTCAAAAAGATTTACTGTTATAATTCATTAACCATTATTATCATTTTTCCTTTTTATGTTCAAATTATCGCAGATTTGGCTGGTGGGAGCCCCGTTAAGCCAGCTTCTGTGTTCTTTTGACATGGCCCCATCAGTCTTTGAGCACTTCCTTGCTTTCTGGGCCAAAAGGTTAAGATGTTCCAGGTTTAGCTTGTATTCTTCCTTTCCTAGACCTGGAACCAACCATTTCTCCCAAGAGTCCTGGTTCCTTTTAGTGGGGAATGGTATCCAGATATGGGAGATGGATGTGCTCATTGCTAGTAGGGTGTAATGGCTTCTAGGCCCTTTCAGTGAACAGAACAAGGAGGTTATATATATGTTATGAGTTCATACGGATATATTTGATTGGTTCAAATCCAACATCACTGGGCTCTTTATCTTACCAATTCTATATTTGTATCTGCCTTCACTCTCAATGAAAACCTTTGTCTTCTAAAATATACACAAAATATTATCAGAATCACTAAATGAATATGTCTATTAACAATCTTTCAAGTAAAGTTTATGATTTCTCTACAGTTTTATTTGTTCTTGGTATTTTTCCTAAGGGTCTATAGTCAGAGTATTGTGTTCAGAAGCTATGTAAAGTAATTTTTTAGTGTGTGTTGTATTAATTTACTATATAGGTTCATTTTTTGTTTGTATTCAAATTTCAGTTTTTAAAAATCCTTTTAATTTTACTTCCGAATATTGCAAAACATTTATATGATTTAAAAATCAAAATGAGTAACCTTTTTAAAATTAGTTTCCGGCTTATTACAAAATAAGCATATGTGTATTTTTTCTATGTGGGATGTTATTCATTCATTCATTCATTTGTTAGTTAAATTAGAATCTGTGAACGATCTTCCTGGTTCTGCCAACCTGTATAATGTGGTACCATTTGGTAGCATTGTGGTTAATTGTGTATTTGTAGTTTGTGTGAGTCCATGAAGAAGAGAATGAGCTCGTGTTCTACTTTCATCTCCCTGAACTGAGGAGGCCTGTGTTGAGTTATGGTTCTGTTGTTAATTGTCTGTGTCATTTTGAACTACTCCCATTACCTGTCTGGACTTGGGTTTTTGTCAGCTGCAAATTATGAGGTTGGACTGGATAGTGAGCTTCTCAAAGAAAGGACTCATGTCCTGGTAATCTCAGTGCTAATCACAGTAGTGGACACAAAGAAAGCATATAGTTTTGTTGAATAAACGAGCCATCTCTGTGTTTCTCTAGTCGTAAAATTCTCTCTTCCCAGTAATACATTAGTGAAGAGAATGGTTTGATCCAGAAGAGAGGTAGTCTTAGAAATTTTTATTTTGTGCTTTGCCACCACCATTCACCCGCAAGTCCCTACTGATTCAGTGTCCCTCACTTGGAGCCCATTAAGGTCACAAGATCTTAGGAAGGAAAACGGACTTCTGCAATGCACTTTAAAGACTTATAAGAAATTATTGAATTTTCTTAGAAATAAAAAGTCAACTCTATGGTGTGGATTTAATTCCTGGCATGTTGTTTTCAAACAGAAAAATGGCTGGGTGTGGCAGCTCACGCCTGTAATCCCAGCACTTTGGGAGGCCAAGGTGGGTGGATCACCTGAAGTCAGGAGTTAAAGATCAGCCTGGCCAACATGGTGAAACCCTGTCTCTGCTAAAAATACAAAAATTAGTTGAGTGTGGTCATGGGCATCTGTAATCCCAGCTACTCGAGAGGCTGAGGCAGGAGAATCTCTTGAACATGGGAGGCGGAGGTTGCAGTGAGCCGAGATCACACCACTGCACTCCAGCCTGGGTGACAAGGAAAAAAAAACACACAGAGAAAAATATCAGCCAAGTCCCAATGAAGAAAAATCAGCAGGAAAATGCAATAAAACAGAAACACTAAATTGTGGAAGAATTTCACCTCAAATGTTTACTTGTATACATCTTTTTATCCTTCTGTCTGAATCCTACTAACCTACACTGGTGAGATTAAATCCCTCTCATGAAGCCTTCCTTGCTATTCAACCTCCTGTTGACCTCCTCTTTTCATAAACTGTTAAGACCTGATTTTTATTAATTTAACATTTTGACTATTAATTATATTTTGCTTTCAAAGTGCTGCAGGTGATACAGATCTCCTGTCTCACATTTGCCACAAATATCCTACAAACCTTTTCACAATCTTAGGCACATGAAAATACTTTTTTCTTTTTTACTGTGGTAAAATGTGCATAACATAAAATTTACCACGAATGACATTTAATATATTCACAGTGTTTGCAACCATCACCATCATCTTGTTCTAGAACATTTTCATCAGCCCAAATGGAAGCCCCATACCCATTAGCAGTCACTCTCCAATCTCTCTTCCCCCAGAGCCTGACAACCATTAATCTGCTTTCTATATTTATGAATTTGCCTATTTTTGACATTTCACATTTGATATAAATGAATCATGCAATATGTGATCTTTTGTATCTGACTTCTTTGACTTAGCATAAGATTTTCAAGTTTCACACATGTTATAGCATGTATCAATACTTCATTCCTTTTTATTGTTGAATAATCTACTTTGTGGATGTACTACATTTTGTTTATTAGTTGATGGTCATTTGGATTGTTTCTGCCTTTTGGTTGTTGTACATAGTGCTACTATGAACATTTATGTACAAGTTTTTGTTTGAATGCCTGGTTTCAATTTTTTAGTGTACTAACCCAGGAGTGGAATTGTGCATATGTGTTTTTATTTCCTTTTCTTTCTCTCTCTTTTTTTTTGAGACAGGTTCTTGCTCTCTTGTCTAGGCTGGAGTGCAGTGGTGCCATCTCAGCTCACTGCAGCCTCTGCCTCCTGGGCTCAAGGTAGCCTCCCACCTCAGTGTTCCAAATAGCCAGGAATACAGGTACATCTCACCATGCTCAGCTAATTTTTTATATTTTTAGTAGAGACAGGGTTTCGCCACGTTGCCCAGGCTGGTCTCAAACTCCTGGGCTCAAGCAGTCTGCCCACTTTGGCTGCAGAAAGTGTTGGGATTACAGGCATGAGCCATGGTGCCCAGTCCCTTTTCTTTCTTAAACAAAAGATAATATTGGCCAGGCGCGGTTGCTCATGCCTACAATCCCAGCACTTTGGGAGGCCGAGGTGGGAGGATCACAAGGTCAGTAGATCGAGACCATCCTGGCCAACATGGTAAAACCCCGTCTCTACTAAAAATATAAAACTTAGCTGGGCATGGTGGCGCATGCCTGTAATCTCAGCTACTCGTGAGGCTGAGGCAGGAGAACGGTGTGAACCAGGGAGTCGGAGGTTGCATTGAGCCGAGATTGTGCCACTGCACCAGCCTGGTGGCAGAGCAAGACTCTGTCTCAAAAAAAAAAAAAAAAAAAAAAGATAATATTGTAGAAGTTTTGTACTTGGCTTTTTTTTCCATGTAGCAAGATGTCTTGAAAATCACTCCATATTAGAACATAGAAAGCTTTTTAAAATTACTTATTTCTATGTAGGTGCCTAGTATTCCATGATAGGGATTGTACCATAGTTTATTCAAATGGTTTCCTTGGAGGAACATTTTGATCATTTTGAGTAGTTTGCTATTACAAATAATGCCACATCCAATAACTGTGCATATGATGTTTTCCTCAGGGAAAATTCCCAGAAGTGGATGGCTGGCTCAAAGAATAGCTACACGTAAAATTTTTATGTTTATTTTTTTGAGATGCTCTTGTCACCCAGGCTGGAGTACAATGGTGTGATCTCAGATCACTGCAACCTCCGCCTCCCAGGTTCAAGTGATTCTCTTGCCTCAGCCTCCTGAGTAGCTGGGATTACAGATGCCTGCCACCATGCCCAACTAATTTTTGTATTTTTAGTAGAAACGGGGTTTTACCAGGTTGGCCAGGCTGGTCTCAAACTCCCATCCTCAGGTGATCCATCTGCCTTGGCCTCCCAAAGTGTTGGGATTACAGGTGTGAGCCACTGCCCCTGGCCTGCTACACATAAAATTTTATCAGCTGCTGCCTAATTCTTCATAGGAGCTGTCCCATTTTATACTCCCATGAACAATGTATGAATGTCTGTTTCCCTACAGCCTTACTAATAGAGTGTTGTCAAGCTTTTGAATTTTCGCCACTCCGATTTGTGAGAAGTAGCGTGTCAGTCTAGTTTTCATTTGCATTTCTTTTCTTTTTTTTTTTTTTTTTTTTTGAGACTGAGTCTCGCTTTGTCACCCAGGCAGGAGCGCTGTTTAGGGCTGATAGGATATACTATGTGTCTGGTTGCTATTCCTCATAAAATGGAAATTAGGATGCCACCGTATCATAACTGGTAATCCCATTTCTTCATAGTTAAATTTTCCTATCAGATTCGGTGTAGATCTAAAGAGATGATATCATGAAGACTTTTAGGCTAATTCCTTGGTTCAAGATTAGCTTTATCTTTTTATTTCTGTGGGGAAAACAAAAAAACCCAAAATTTTCATTTTTGAAAAGCTTTTTATTCACATTAACAATAGCAATTAAGCAGTCACACTTAACTCATCCTGATATTTAACTGGTATCTTATTAGTTTCAGTAATAACATTTAGCCCAGGTTTTCTTGAATTAAGCTCATTTAAAATATTTTTTCCTACATACCTTGTATAAAATCTCATAGTTTTGTATTTTTAATTCTTAACACTTTTCTTCCCAGTTCACATATACAGAGATTAAGTTACTAGGCTTTTAAATTTCCATTTTGATTTTTGCTGATGCATGTTTCTAAATAATTTATATTCCAACAGGAAAAGATGGTAAAGCACGCAACAAAGACAAGAGGAATTTAAAGAAGCCTGCAGTGACAAAACCGAACAATATTAAGTCAATGTTCATTGCTTGTGCTGGAAAAAAAACTGCAGATGTGAGTTTCATGGTTTCCTTATATTTTGTATTTTCCTTTGTGAGGTGAATTTAATATTTGATCATACAGATGATAGGTGCTCAGTATATATTTGAGTAACATTTTTCCAGTTTCACTCACTAAGTTGGATGTAGATTTCTAAGTGAATTAAGGTACTTCATTGGAACTTGGGGAATCGAAAAGAAAATTGAACAGAAAAGCTGAATTGAGAGTGTGTTTAATTTTATTGAGTAGCAAGAAGATCCTGGAGTAAGGATGAACGCAGAGGACGGGAGCTATAGATATAGAAATTATATATCCACAGGTGATTGTTAAAATCTGTGAATGTAGATGAGCCCTCAGAGTGAGGAATGAAGAGGCAAGGACACTTCCTTTTATACACATGTTTGTAGTTTTGGTGAAAAATTTAAGTGCAAGGCTTTCTCATGCTACATTTCTTTATCATTTGCAGAAAGCTGTAGACTTGTCCAAGGATGATCTGCTAGGTGACATTCTACAGGATCTTAACCCTAAGGTAAATGAATCTCCAGGAGTTGTAAAATATGCAAGAACATAGACTGAAGAAACACTCTAGTAATTATACAAAACAGACTATTGCCAGAATTAAAAAAATTTTTTTTTGTATGGTCGCCTGGGCTGGTGTGCAGTGACGCGATCTTGGCTTGCTGCAACCTCTGCCTCCCAGGTTCAAGCGATTCTCCTGCCTCAGCCTCCCGAGTAGCTAGGATTATAGGCACCTACCACCACGCCCGGTTAATTTTTTTTGTAGTTTTAGTAGAGATGGGGTTTCACTATGTAGGCCAGGCTGGTCTCGATCTTCTGACCTCATGATCTGCCCACCTAGGCCTCTCAAAGTGCTGGGATTACAGGTGTGGGCCACTGTGCCTGGCCTATTGCCAGAATTTTTTAAAATGTGAGGACACCACCAACAAAAACACCCCACAAAAAAAAACCCCTTCAGGTTGGTTTCTTTTCCCCACCATTTTAGGTGAGTATTTCCAGCCGTTAGAGCTGTGTGATTATGTAGATAGGGCTGTGTGGGTGTGTGTTTGAAGTAGTAAGAGTATACCCAGGAGTCAGTTCTGTTAGTGCTCACTGCTTGTGTTCAGTTGCTGTGGTGTAGGTTCCCTAAATAGATTGAAGCCTGTCAATCTGCACAATCAGGTATAAGAGCCTCGTCTTGAATTCTGAGTGGGAATGAAGGATGAGTGAGTGAACTATCTCCGATAGAACTTGAACAGGATTAGCTGCACTGCAAATTTGAAATTTGGCCATTTCCCATAAAGACTAAGCTGTCATTTAGAAGTGTACTTCTTTTGAAGTGACCATTGATTAAAATAACTTAACATCAACACCATGTAGTTCTATCTTGACAATTTTTAAATGTAATATTCTCAAAGGTTAAGTGAAAGTGTGCTAAATTTTAAAAAGAAAAAATTGGTGAGGGGGTAGATTTAATATCTATTTTAGTTTTCTTGTGATTTCTATAGTATTGTTGCTATAGTAACCACAGTGCATGAACATAGATGGGAGACGGTGGGGGGAGGGGGAAAGGGAAAGAAAAGAAAGCTTTGCTTATTGGGCTTCAATGAGTGAAGAAGTATACTTTTTCTGTCTGTGGTAAACCAAGCATGGCAGTGAATATGTCTTACCTTTCCTTTTAGACACCTCAAATAACTCCACCACCTGTAATGATACTGAAGAAGAGAACATCCATTGGAGCTTCACCGAATCCTTTCTCTGTGCACACCCCCACGGTAAAGTGTGTAGAGATACCTTCAATCTTGATTTATAGTATTGCTTTAAACTTATTTTATTGCTTTTCTATGTGAGGGAAATACCTTTAAATTTGTTTTTCATTTTTGTTTTAAATTAGGACTCTCATTCAATATATAGTTTCATGTATTTCAAAAATAGCATGTGCCTGCTTTTTTCATAGTAAATTTGCAGTAACTAGTATGTGTTTATTATAGGTATTACAACTGTGGTAAATGCAATAATTTTCCTTCCAGAAGCAAGTATCTTTTTGTAAACCTAGGTAACAGTAAAATAATTGAAGCTGTTACATTAATAATACATAAAATCTTTTTATAAAAGGGAACTGTCATTATCTTTGGTCAGGGTAGGACAGTTGCGTATTTTTACTATGTAGGTCTAACTGACTAAATATTTAAAAACGTTTACAGGCAGTTCCTTCAGGAAAAATTGCTTTCCATGTCTCCAGAAAGGAGCCTCCATTAACTCCCGTTCCTCTTAAACGTGCTGAATTTGCTGGTAAGTTTGATGTCAGGCAGAATTGCAAGAGTGTTGAGAGCTTTCTGTCAAAAATGGAGGCCCCATGATGGAGGAGGTATAGGTGATTTTGAAGGTGTTGTGATGGTAAGTTTAAATGTGAAGATTTAAATTCATAGCAGTAAAAGTTAAAAACACCCAATTTGGAGATTAAAGAGAAATGCACACATAGTATAGAAAAGGAAAAGGGACAGGCTGCTATTTTAGTGTTGGATGAGCCTTTGGCCCAATGGCACTGGCACATGACAAGAATGGGTGATGATGTCTACAGGCGAGCCGGTACAGGCGGAGAATACAGAAGAAGAGCAGGAGTCAGGGCCAATGGAGTTTGAAGATGGTGACTTTGATGAACCCATGGAAGCTGAAGAGGTGGACCTGGAGCCTGTGGCTGCCAAGACTTGGGACCAAGAGAGTGAGCCAGCAGAGGAAGTGAAACAAGAGGTGGATCCTGGGAAAGGGACCATGTCCTACTTGTAAGAGCATTTTATGACTTTTCTGGCAAATAGGACTACAATTTGCTGTTGAATTTTGAAAGGTTTTTGAAAATGTGATTTCTGCAGAGGAAGTGTTTTCCCGGATGTCTCTTGTTGGGATGTTGATCAAGAAGGTGATAGCACTTTCTTAGTGCAGGAAGTTCAAGTGGATTCCAGTCACCTCCCGTTGGTAAAAGGGGCAGATGAGGAGCAAGTATTCCACTTTTATTGGTTGGATGCTTATGAAGATCAGTACAACCAACCAGGTAATCATATATAAGGTAACTATATGCCTTTAATTCAGAGTAGGACCTTTCCCTTAAGTATTTTTTTTTTTGTGTGTGTGTGTATGTGTTTTGTCTTTCTATTTTCTTTAATCAATTTATTTATTTTTGTTTTTTGTTTTTTTTTTCCTTTGTCTTTTAAATACTTGAGTGATTGTAATTGGCTCAGGTCAGGCCCTGCCCTCACTTAACATGTATTGTAAGAGAGTGGCACTCATTCATTGTAAAGTGAATGCACCACCCTGATGGAGAGGAGGTATGGTGTGAATATTCCTTAAAGATGCTTATTCCAAAAATCAGTTACATATGGTTTTGGAATGTGTGTTTATAGTTCACTATTGGTATATCTGAAGTTACAGGAATGTACTTCAATTTAAATGAAATTAGTCATTAATTTGTCTGTTTCTTCAGTAATTCTGAATGCCTGTTGTGTGCTCGGCACTGAGATGGGATGAATAAGCTGGAAAAATTCCCTACACTATAATGGAGCTTACATTCTAGGGGGGTGGGAGGGTGGGGGCACATTAGCAGTAATGAGATAAATTGATAAATGATGTAAAGAAAATTAGCTGGGCGATGGCCAGGGGAGGCCTGTCTAAGGAAATGACCACTGGGCTGAGATTTGAGGTGTTTGCAGAGCTGACCAAAGGGCATTTCAGCTTAATAAGCCAGTACTAGCAAAGGCCTAGAGAGAGAAAGGAGGAGGCCTGTGTGGTTGTAGCATAGTAGTCAAGTGACAAGATTGGTGTAAAATGAAGCTGGAGATAAAGACAAAGGCCAGATAATGTAGGACTTTGAAAGCCACCTTAAGAAGTTTGAATCTTCTAAGAGCAATGGGGAGGCATTGGAGAGTTTTAAATACAGGAGGTGGTGGTAACATAATTGGGTTTACATTTTAACAGCAACAGTGATTTGTGTAGAGAATAAGCACTGTGGTGCGTGTGTGCGTGTGGACACACAAATGTGGAGGGATGGGCTGGTGTGGGGTAATGGGGAAGTATGGAAGCCTTGGAGATCAGTCAGTCCAGGGCAGGGCTGCTAGTTACTTGGACCCTGGTGGCTGGAGAGGAGAGAAGTAAAGGCATTTGACACGTCTTTTGACACAAACTTGTTAATGGATTGGATAGGGAATGTGACAGAAAGGAGGAATCAAGGATGGTTTCCAGGTCATCCTAATGAGCTAATACTGTGAATTCTTGACTCACAAAAAGCCCAGAGACTGTTCAGTATTGTTTTGTGCCTCTTTGAGCCCTTCTTCACTGTGGGACTGGGCAATACAAGATCTGCTGGATTAACGTAAAATTCAGTATGCACCCTTTAACAGAGTCGTCTTTATTTAGATCCTTTTTTGGATCTGTGGTACATGCAAATAGTGTATTTTTTAAAGCGGTTTCCTGGAGGCTGTATCTCGTAAAAAGAGATGGAGTACCTAGATGCCAGCACAGCAAGCATATGAGTAAATTGAAGGCCATATTTACCTTAAAGATAATCAGGCATTGACTTTAACTGGAAAAATGTTAATGATCTCAGGCAGAGGTGGGGACAGTCAGAAGCATTAATATGTTTCAGCTTATCAAATATATATAAACTCTTGAGGCACTCGAGTAGCACACTGCCATGTATTAGTTTCTTGGGAAAAGATAAAATCAATTTTAGAAATGATATCTTAATCTGCTTTAGGACAAAATGATTTGATTAGACCCCCTCACCTCTTTGACTACTTTGTTACTCTGCTGGACGGCTGGCAAGTATGATTACATGAGGCTGAGCAGTTGATTTCCCATCCATTGCCAAAACCCAGGGCTGCACAATTGTACAACCTCAGGGAATACCATTTTCACGTGACCTTCCTGGAGCATAGCAGTGTGACTGGTGCTCCCTGGAGCTCTGCAGCACAGTGGCCTGGCTATCTCGGTGTTACTCCCAGTGCTTTGCTGCACCTGCTCAGTGCTGCATTTCATTCCCTATCTTGGTTAATGGTCCCATCAAAACCAGAAACCTGGGAGTCATTCTTGATTCTGTCCTTTTCCTCATTTCCCTTTCCAAGTCTGGTTAGTTTTCTCTGCCTAAAGGGGACAACTTACCTTCTCTTTCTTCTCATACTTACCGCCCCTGGTCCCTTCTTGCCTACTGAAACAATTGCACCAGCCTCCTAATTCATCTCTTAGCTATTGTCCTCCACATCACTGCTAGAGGGATTTATCAGAACGGCAGTTCTGACCATGTCATTTCCTCATTAAAAAAATTCTCAGTGGCTACTGCCTACAACATAAAGTCCAAACTCCTTAGCAAGGCTTTTGATGCCTGCTGTCGATGAATTTTGTGCCCTAGAAATAGTTCTCTGTATGTACTTTGCTGCTCTTTATACCAGTGTTCCTTTACTGGTGTTTTGTCTGATTGGAATGCCCTCATCTGACTCATTCTTCAAATTTCAGCCCAGATGTGATCTCCTGGGAGTTTACCTAAACCTCCAGATGGGCCTAGGAGCCCTTTCTCCTTGTGACTACATCATAGCCTTTCCCATTGTAGCATTTGTCCTATTATTTTGAAGTGATCTGAGTCTGTGTTTTTCTTTCCCACAAAGCCTGTAAGCTCCTGGAGGGCTGGGATCTTTTATTTCCAACATGCAGCAACAATGCCTAGCACATAGTAGGTGTTAAATAAATAGTTGTTGAAATAAACTGCACAGTGACTGACAGTCCTGTAGATGCAGATGAAACATTTCAGAGACCAGTGTTGCATTTGCTACTATTACTGAGTTTACATCTTAAAGCCTTGTAGCTTTGTGGGGTATGAGAATGCATAACACAAAAACAAGTGGTTCCCCACTCCCCCACAATCCCACAAATTAAATATACCCATAAAGCACCATATTGCCAGTGTAAGTTGCCAAGGATTAGAACCTTAAGAAGCAACAACCTTTTTTTCTTTCCTTTGTGAAAATGAGTTGATTATTTCTACATTTTGTTTACTGGCTGACACTCTTAGTAAACAGAGCATTGTTTTGCAGGGTAAGGATCTAGAGCTGCGTTGTCTACTATGGCAGCCACCGGCCACCTGTAGCTCTTTAAATTAATTAAATACAAATTAAAATTTAGTTTCTCAGTCACTAGCCATATTTCAGGTGCTCAATAGCAACTGTGGCCAGTAGCTACCATATGGGATGGTTCAGAAACAACAATTTCATCATCACAGAAATTTATTTCAACTAGTGCTGGTCTGTAGTGACAGGTGTTGGAAGATTAAAGCATTGAAGCACAGCTATATTTGCAAAGCAACCAATTTATGGTATGTGGTGGTGTTGAATTCCTGGTACTGATCATAGTCATGGATAGGCTTTTTCAAACAATATTGAAAAATATTTTGCCATTGAAAGAGATACTTCGCTATTGGTCTGTCATCCAAATGCTAAGGCAGAATGAAATCTCTGGTGCTGGAGAAGGCCTCAGAGATTATCCAGTCTAGTTATGCACTTAGGAAACTGAGGTTCCAAAAGATACAATAGCTCTTTAGTGGTAGAAGCTTGGACTTCTCACCCTCAGTCCACTCTCCTGTTGTGGTTCTGTGGTACTTCTCAAGTTGTGTTCTCTTCTATGGCACATCTTTCTCTGTTATTGATGCCAACGGGTTAAATAAGATAGCTTAAAAAAAAACTCCTTTAATCTCAGAGGGTTGAACAGTTTCATCATGATAGCAGGTAATGATCACTGAGCTTTGGTGAAATCAATGCTGCTAATAAAAATGAAGTACTCCGAAAGACCCTGTTATTGTTTGTCACTTTCTTACGGATTCTAAGTAAGTCAGTTGTTGCTGAATGCTCCATAATTATGAAAAGAATCTTACTCTTTGCATATGGGAAGATATCCTGTCTTCATTATGACTTTTTCAAGGTTGAATAATCCTGACTGCACCTGGTTTCAGTTAGTAACTTTGAGGGGAATGTAATCTTTGTTTACCATGATCTTTTTTGTGGCAAATGAGGCATAAACAGTGTCAAATGTGTTGCATGAAGTGTGATATTAGTTTGACTGTAAAATGAGCTATTTGAATCTTTGAATCCAATATTAGGGTCTTTATTTTTCTTTGCATAGCATTTTGTTTTTCCATCTTTAACTGTTGTGAGGATGACTTTTAATTTTCTGAGCTACTGTGATTTTTTTCTTTTTTAATCATCCCATAGTCCTTCCTTCTCTTTCTCTCCCCTGTCTACCCTCCCTGTTACCCCCCTAAGCTGAAAAAAGTCTCATAACTCTTGGAAGAATTTTAATCATCTGCAGAAGTGAAAATTCTTAGATCGTCTTATTTCTACCAGGATGTGTGACAAAAGGAGTCACTGATGAGCAGTCTTGTGAAACTGGGGGAATTGACCTTGTAAACAGTAGCCTTTGCATGTGCCAGAATTTATTTCATTTATTTATTTATTTTCTTTCTTTCTTTTTCCCTCCCCTCCCTTCCCCTCCACTCTCCTCATTTTCTTTCTTTTCTTTCTTTCTCCCTCCCTCCCTCTATTCCCTCCCTTCCCTTCCTTCCTTTCCTTCCTCCCTTTCCTTCCTCCCCTTCCTTCCTTCCCTTTCTTTCTTTCTTTTCTTTCTTGATGGAGTTTCACTCTTGTTACCCAGGCGGGAGTGCAATGGCGCAATCTCTGCTCACTGTAACCTCTGCCTCCTGGGTTCAAGCAATTCTCCTGCCTCAGCCTCCTGAGTAGCTGGGATTATGGGCATGCACCACCATGGCTGGCTAATTTTTAATTTTTTTTTTTTTTGTATTTTCCGTAGAGACGGTGTTTCTCCATGTTGGTCAGGCTGGTCTCGAACTCCTGATCTCAGGTGATCCACCTCCCTCGGGCTCCCAAAGTGCTGGAATTACAGGTGTGAGCCACTGCGCCTGGCCCAGAATTTTCTTAGTGTCTCAGATTAAGTGTCTGTGTTGAGTGGCTTTGTTGATGGATTACTGCTGTCTGATTATTCATGGAGCCCAAGATTTTGCACAGTGACCATCTCCTGGGTTGACTAACAAATGTTTGCAGTCTGTCCTTCATGGCCAATTTTCATAAACAATGATTTTATGTCTAAAAAGGTGTGATTTTACTTTATAGTATTCATTAATTAGGGATCTCAACAGGAGAGCTTCTACTGATTTGGTTACTAAACCATTTGTTAAACTGAAATAGAAGAGAAAGGAACATTATAAACCCTACCTAGTTAGACATCCTAAGTAGCTGTGAAGCAGAAAGGGTGAAATTGAAGATAATAGTAGTCCCTACTATGATATATTTATTATTATATGGCATAAGAAATATGAGGTAAGTTATGTTTTTCCTAAGCACAGTTTTACATATAGAAAAATACTGATATGCTAGTTATCCTGATACATGAATATTGTTTTTTATTGGTAAATACAAGTGCTAAAAAATTAGAATTATATTCTCAGATCTGTAAGTTCTCACAAGAGGCTTAATTATGAGATTTGTTGGAAAATACTTTGCTTGTTTCTGTTTCTTTTTATTTTGAGACAGGGTTTTGCTGTGTTGACCAGGCTGGTCTCAAACTCCTGAGCTCAAGCAATCTGCCCACCTTGGCCTTCTGAAGTGCTGGGATTACAGACATGAGCCACTGTGCTTGGCCTGTTTCGTTTCGCTTAATCTGTGTAATCCTGGTTATGGGGAAAATGTTTATGCTAAGTTAGAGAATCATTCTGTCCCCTGTCCTCCCAGTAGTCATACATTGTGTTAGTGTAGTATGGCATCAGTACTGAGTATAGAGCTGGTCTTGGGGAGTTGGAAATGGATATAAATTTGCTGTCAAAATGAATTATCGTGAAGGTATAAATGTGCAGACACATTCAGCGAGCCTCTATATTGCTTCTTTAATTAGATGAAATTGAAATGTTTCTTTTCTCATGATTTTCACTTATTCTTTCAGGTGTGGTATTTATGTTTGGCAAAGTTTGGATTGAATCAGCTGAAACCCATGTGAGCTGTTGTGTCATGGTGAAAAATATCGAACGAACACTCTACTTCCTTCCCCGTGAAATGGTAAACATTAGTGATTAGCTTTTACTTCTCAGTAGTTGTATCTGCCACACGTTTTGTGTTCTGCTGCCAGCTCTGTCCTTCAGTAGGGCTACGAATTCTCCACAACCCTGATGCTTCTTTCTTGCTGCTCGCCTAGTGACCACTGATTGTCAGCAATTCTATTAGGGGTTGGGAAAAGTAGAAAAATAAAGTAGAACTCAGTTTTTCAATTTGTTGGAGTATAAATGTTTCTGAGTTTTAGTATATAATGCTTTCTTTCCCTCACCCCTCATTTCCATAATAATCAGGGTTGGAATTATAAGGTTTTAAAATGTGACATGGTATTTGGCCCAGTTTTCATAGTTTTGCTGCATAGGCAGCAGTGATACTCCCTCCATTGCCGTTTATGAACAAGTTCAATTCTATTTGCTTCTCCTTTTTTATTGGGACTTAACATCCCCATTTCCCTCTCAGCCCCTCCCCATGTCAGTTGAACTGTGGAGTCTCTTGGTCAGGATTTACAATGCTTATTCTTCCATTTTGTAGACTTGATCATCTTTATCACTGATTTGTTTTTATGATGCCATTGGGAGGAATTGGACATTTGGTTTAGTACATTTTTTGGGTCTGTTTGGATCTTTGAACTTATCTGTAAGACTGCTATTAAATATTTAAATGGGAAAGGATGAAAATTGATACAGACTTGGGTTTCTGGTAGCTGAGAAGATCTTATGTACAGATACTTTTTTTTTTCCCATCTGCCCCCCTTTCTGGGGTAACAGAAAATTGATCTAAATACGGGGAAAGAAACAGGAACTCCAGTTTCAATGAAGGATGTTTATGAGGAATTTGATGAGAAAATAGCAACAAAATATAAAATTATGAAGTTCAAGTCTAAGGTTTGTATTTGGTGATGATTTTTTTCCAGCTATGTTTGTTGTTTATTTTCTGATTTAGCAGATAGTTATTGCATATTTTCTTTGTGCAGGATGCCTTCTGTGTGACTATAATTTATTGAATGGAAATTTCATAGATATGAATGTAAAGACAATATATTAGATTTGTAAAAGTATTTTTCTTTTTAAGCTGCTTACAAAATAATTGTTTATTAATTTGAATGGAAAGATAACATAGCAAATTAATTGCCTCCAGTGCTTGCAACATGTCTTGTGCCCTTATTCTCAACTGGAGAAGAAACTGCTCTGATCTCATTTGTATTAGTTATTGCCAAGATGTTTTGGTTAGACAGTTAAGTAACGTTTTATTTTTAAAAATCAGGGACTATGATACAGTCTGATAGAATGAACATCTTTGTGCTAGTTATGATGAATTGTCTTGATTTAGTGAGATTGATGCCTTTGGCTATAATTGTGGGGACTATATAGCCTGCTGAAAATACTGGCTATTAAGAATGGTCGTGGAGGATTGAGTTACTGAAGATAAGGCTAATAGTATTAACTGTTTGAGTTTTGAATTGTGGCTGATGGTTCAAGTCTTTAAAATTCCAAAAGCAATTGTGTTATACTGGTGAAGAGTATAGGTGCTGAGGCCAGACTGCTTGTGCTTTAAGTCCTAGCTTGCTGCTTACTAGTGTGTAACCTTGGACAAGTGCTGCATAACTTCTCTGTGCCTGTTTCTTCATCTGAGAAATAGGGCCCTATTTCAAGAGTTGCCGAAAGGGTTAAATCAATTAACTCAGATGGTTAGAACAGTCCTTGCCAGATAGCCAACACTCAGTAAATATAAGCTATAATTATAATGCTAATTATTTAGTATTCTAGCAAGATGTAGTTGCTTAATATCAAATAGTAGCAAGTCATTTAATGCATTAACACATTAACATTGTAAAAAATTAAACTTTTTTTTTTTTGAGATGGAGTCTCGCACTGTTGCCAGCCTGGAGTGCAGTGGCACAATCTCGGCTCACTGCAACTTCCGCCTCCCAGGTTCAAGCGATTCTCCTGCCTCAGCCTCCCAAGTAGCTGAGACTACAGGCTCGCGCCACCACATCCAGCTAATTTTTGTATTTTTTTTTTTTTTTTTTTTTTTTTTTTGAGACGGAGTTTCACTCGTGTTACCCAGGCTGGAGTGCAATGGCGCGATCTCGGCTCACCGCAACCTCTGCCTCCTGGGTTCAGGCAATTCTCCTGCCTCAGCCTCCTGAGTAGCTGGGATTACAGGCACGCACCACCATGCCCAGCTAATGTTTTTTGTATTTTTAGTAGAGACGGGGTTTCACCATGTTGATCAGGATGGTCTCGATCTCTTGACCTCGTGATCCACCCGCCTCAGCCTCCCAAAGTGCTGGGATTACAGGCTTGAGCCACCGCGCCCGGCCAATTTTTGTATTTTTAGTAGAGACGGGGTTTCACCATGTTGGTCAGTCTGGTCTTGATCGCCTGATCTTGTGATCCACCCACCTTGGGCTCCCAAAGTGCTTGGATTACAGGCGTGAGCCATTGCACCCGGCCAAAATTTTCATCTTTTATTGCGCCTCTTGAATGTAAATATTTTTGAGTTCTGTAGTGTCCAAGATAAGTCCTTTTAGCATTTTGACACTGGGTATTTTAGTTCTAATCGAAAGAGGAAAAGGTACCTTTTTGGCTTTATTTACCTTTGTATTCCGTAAGGGTTCTTGATGATTGAATACAAGAGCATGTATTGTATATGTAATACTGGTCAGTTTGTGAAAAGTTTTTGTCTTAAGGATTTTTTTTAAATATCTACTTAGCCAGTGGAAAAGAACTATGCTTTTGAGATACCTGATGTTCCAGAAAAATCTGAGTACTTGGAAGTTAAATACTCGGTAAGTCAAACACAATTACTGGGTTTTGCTTGAGAATGACATTTTTCTGTTTTTGAACTTTCAACTGACTTTCAGTTAGGAGTATTGGCAGGGATCCTCAAGCCCACACTTCACTGAAGTGGATTTATAGTAATGAATAATTGAAATGGATAAAATTAATTTAAGTATATAGACTACAGGTTACACTACCCTTCTCTGCTTTGGAGTATACATCTTTAAATAAATAAGTTGAAACAGCACAACTGTTTGTCAAGCGGAATGAATGCCACATGATGGAGTTGGACATCATTAGTCTGTTGAAGTGTCCCTTCTGAGCAGTGGAAAGGTGAGAGAGGAGTGTCAGTAGCATTGCTATAGCACTACTCTTGCTCCTGTGACAGGCAGGGTCATTGCTATGGGATATTAATTAACTAGACCTTAACCTCTTCTTACCTCTGTTCCAGTGTTTTGTTCCTACAATATTGGAAAAGGAAAACTTTTAAGAAATATTTCTGACAGTGGTGATGAAAAGTATTTTCAATGAGTTCCACTCTATTGCTTTCATTCTTCTAATGGAGTGGTACTTACTTGGTTATTCTTTATCAGTAAAGCATGTACAGCTCTGGACAGAAATTCTCTTTTGGGGGAGCTTCTTGGCCTATTTTTCTTCTAATGGGTGCCATCAAGATGCATTATTTTGTCATTGTGAATTGGTTTTGTTTCCTACTGTGAATTGTTTTGGATTTCATTTGTGGCAAATTACATTTCATATATATCAAAGGGTTTCTTCTGTGCTTCATAGAGAGGCTTTTGTTTATTTCAAATATAGACTTTGGAAAATGCAAAGTAATAGTTTTAAACAAAAGGATTTTTTTTTTTTTTTTTGCCTTTTTCAGGCTGAAATGCCACAGCTTCCTCAAGATTTGAAAGGAGAAACTTTTTCTCATGTATTTGGGACCAATACATCCAGCCTGGAACTGTTCTTGATGAACAGAAAGATCAAAGGACCTTGCTGGCTTGAAGTAAAAAGTCCACGTAAGGAAAAATATATGCTCAGAATGCTGAATAGATTGCTGATAGATGTGGTTTTTAAAAGGGAAGTTAGGAAATTGATATATTTATTTTAATGTATCCACTTCCTTTTCTGTTTGTTTCTTCAAAGTTTTCCTTGAGTGAGTATAGGGAGTATATTTGGAATCACCTTATCTCTATAATGCCTGGCAGTTTAGTCTGAGGGAGGCCTTAGTTTGGGGCGCATCCCTCATTATGGTGTTATTCACATGTACTTCTGACCTGGCTGATGTGGCCCAGCTGTTCTCCATAGTGAACTGCTGATCTTTGAAGTAGAGGAGAATCAGTATTCAATATGGATAGTGCCTGTTTGGCCTGTTACCTGATGTTTTTCAGTAATTGCTTCTATGGTAGTCTGCTTTGTCTTTGTGAAGCTCTTAAAAATGTTTCATGATTCCTCCAAGGCAGTGTTTCAGTTTTTTTAAAGTCTATTTTGGGTCCTGAATTCTTTGGAGAATCTGATGACAGCTATGGACCTCTTTCCCAGGAAAATGAACATATGTACACACACATGAGGATTTGCATACAACCCAATAATGTGGCTTATTTTTAGTTAGATGTTATAATATGTCATTCTTATTAGAAGGCAGGATTGAAGAATATCCCAGTTAATGACAGATGCCTTAATTATAGTAGTTTTTCTTTTTCAGTAAATAGCTATTGATCTGTTGTATCTATTCTGTTTCAGAGCTCTTGAATCAGCCAATCAGTTGGTGTAAAGTTGAGGCAATGGCTTTGAAACCAGACCTGGTGAATGTAATTAAGGATGTCAGTCCTCCTCCACTTGTCGTGATGGCTTTCAGCATGAAGACAATGCAGAATGCAAAGAACCATCAAAATGAGGTTAAAAAAATAGGACAGATTTTGTACCCATGCCTTAGATGCAATACTTGACTGAACTTGCACAGCTTTGCTTTAAGAGAAAGTTGTTCTTTTTGGAGGGGAAAGAGTAATAATTTGCTACTAAACTCTTATTATAGAGAATGAATTGAATTTGTCTAGTGTTGGAGTTTTTTCTTAAAGACTTAAATTGCTGAACTTATTTTTATTTTTTGTCTATTAAATTTTTTATGTAGGAGAACTTCAAATAGATACAGAGTAATAAAATGGAATCCATATACCAATCACTCATATTCAGCAGTTAGTAAGATTTTGTCACACTTGTTTATTTCTCTCCCTTTTTTCCCTCTTGAAGTATTTTAAAGCTGGTCTCAGACATTGTGTCATTTTACCTCTGAACCTTGGTATGTTTCTTTCAAAACGTGCATACTTTCTTATATAATACCGTTAGCACACCCACTAACATTAACAGTGGTGATTCCTTGGTATAATCTAAAATACCCAGTCCATACTTACATGACCCTGTTTCTTAAGATGTCTTTTAACGCTCAGTTTGTTTGAATCAGGATTCACACAAGATTCACAGATGCTATTTAATCTCTGCACCTCTTCAACCTCTTTTAAATAGGAAGAACTCACTCCCACTCTTCAGTTTTTTAAATGACATTGAATAATTAAAGAAATATTGTTGTTCGTCTCATAGAATATCCTGTTTTCTCCATTCATTTGCTTTGTTGTGGTGTCATTGGACCTTTCCTCTATACCAGTGGTTGGCAGCCAATGAATGGTCTGTGAGCCAAATCCAGCCTGCTACCTATTTTTGTAAATCAAGTTTCATTGGAAGACAGCATGTATACAGCTGCTTTTGCACTATGACAGGAGAGTTGAGTAGTAACAGAGACCATATGGCCTGCAAAACCTAAAATATTTACTATCTGGCCCTTGAAAGAAAAAATATGCTGACTCTGCCTCATCCTTCATATTTCTGTATACTGTAAGTTAGCTCTAAATGATCAAATTAGATTCAGGTTCAGCTTTTAGCCCAAATGCTTTATAGATGATGCAGTGTACTTCATATTGTATCGTATCAAAAGACACAATGTCTGGTTAAGCTGCTATTAGTTGACAAAGGCTGGGATCACGGGGAAAAAAACCCTACTATTAATGAGTCTGTGTTTGGTTAGCGGTTGAATTAATGATAAACTATTGTAATTCTCCATCAGCTTTTCATCTAATGTAAGGTTTTTTCACCTTGACACCCCACGTATTTTGGGCCAGGTAATTCTTTTGTGGGGCACTGTCTTCGGCATTGTAAGATGTTTAACAGCATCCCTGGCCTTTACCTTCTAGGTGCCAGTAGCATGCCTCCCCTCTAGTTGTGACAGCCAAAAAATGCCTACAAACACATCACCAGATGTCCTGGGGACAGGGGATGTGTATGTGTGTATAAAATTACCCCCGGTTGAGAACAACTGAGCTAATAGCTTCATTTATTAGTCATTTTTGCCTGAATTAGTTATTTCATTAAGAGTTGTAATGCAGTTTTTTTTTTTTTTTTTTTTTTTTTTTTTTTTTTTTTTTTTTTTTTTTGAGACGGAGTCTCACTGTGTCACCCAGGCTGGAGTGCAGTGGCATGATCTTGGCTCACTGCAACATCTACCTCCTGGGTTCAAGTGATTCTCCTGCTTCAGCCTCCTGAGTGGCTGGGACTACAGGTGCATGCCACCATGCCCGGCTAATTTTTTGTATTTTTTAGTAGAGACAGGATTTCACCATATTGGCTAGGCTGGTGTTGAACTTCTGACCTCGTCATCTGCCGCCTCGGCCTCCCAAAGTGTTGGGATTACAGGTGTGGGCCAGCACGCCTGGCCAGAATGGTGGTTTCAAAAAATTCTGTCCATGTTTATTAGTTAAATTTTTCTGTAAAATTAAATTTTCTTCTTTAGCCAATATTATTTGGTTATGCCGTAATGGTTTATACGGGAAAGACAGGATAAATGCTTACTTCTTTCTCTTTAATTGCCAATTTTCCTAGTAGGAAGTTGGCACCTACCTTACATGCAGTGGTGACCAATGCTTTATTTGTTTACTTATTTGTTTTTGTTGTTACGTTTTAACTTTCTAAGTCCTTCTGACATTGATAGGGATCTTTTTAAACAGCATTTTGGCAGTACTTTCACTCTGATTTTTTGTTTTAGTGTGTGATTTGATCTTTTTTTTTTTTTAAGACAGAGTCTCACGCTCTTGCCCAGGCTGGAGTGCAGTGGCGCAGTCTCAGCTCGCTGTGGCCTCCACCTCCCAGGTTCAAGTGATTCTCCTGCCTCAGCCTCCCAAGTAGCTGGGATTACAGGTGCGGGGTACCACACCCAGTTAATTTTTGCATTTTTAATAGAGACGAGGTTTTCCCATATTGCCTAGGCTGATCTCGAAGTCCTGACTTCAAGTGATCCGCTCACCCTAGCCTCCCAAAGTGCTGGGATTACAGGCGTGAAACACTCCATCCGGCCTGATCTTTTTTTTTGACATCTAGCGTTCTTTTTTCTTAACATCTGATCTTTTAATAATAGTTAATACAGTAGATGGCCATAGTTCATAGTTAAGTGTTTGGGAGCAGTTTAATTAGTAGTTAGTTTAAAAAAAGTATTCACCTCTAGTGTCCAGAATGAGGTTTCCACATTCCTTTTTTTTTTTTTTTTTTTGAGACAGAGTCTTGCTCTGTTGCCCAGGTTGGAGTAGAGTGCAGTGGCACGATCTTGGCTCACTGCAACCTCTGCCTTCCAGGTTCAAGTGATTGTCCTGCCTCAGTCTCCTGAGTAGCTGGGATTACAGGTGTGCGCCACCATGCCTGGTTAATTTTTTTGTATTTTTAGTAGAGATGGGGTTTCACCATGTTGGCCAGGCTGGTCTTGAACTTCTGACCTTAAGTGATCTGCCCACCTTGGTCTCTCAAAGTGCTGAGGTTATAGGTGTGAGCTGGTGTGCCTGGCCCCATTTTCTAATAAAAGGAAACTGAGGTCTGTGAAGTAATGGCTGATTCAGGGAAGGAAATATCTGGAACATCTTATTATACCAGAGAGCAAGGACAGTAGTAAAATCTACTGAAGATATGTTAAAAGGACTCAGTAGGCCGGGCACGGTGGCTCAAGCCTGTAATCCCAGCACTTTGGGAGGCCGAGGCGGGTGGATCACGAGGTCAAGAGATCGAGACCATCCTGGTCAACATGGTGAAACCCCGTCTCTACTAAAACTACAAAAAATTAGCTGGGCATGGTGGCGCGTGCCTGTAGTCCCAGCTACTCAGGAGGCTAAGGCAGGAGAATTGCTTGAACCCAGGAAGCAGAGGTTGCGGTGAGCCGAGATCGCGCCATTGCACCCCACCCTCGGGGAAAAAAAAGCCAAACCCCGTCACAAAAAAAAAAAAAAAAAGGACTCAGTAATTCCACTTGGACTCAGTAATCAACTTGAAGAGTCTTCTACTGACCAAAGATGGGACACTGTGAGAGTAAGAATACGTGTAACAGATTGAAACAAATTAGATCTATGAGTTAATAATGATATTGTCAGCAATGACACTGCATTGGTCACTTGTGAAGGGAGCCAGGGAACCAACTCATTATTTTGAAAACTGGTAAAGGGATTTAATGAAGCTTTTTTTTTTTTTTTTTTACTTTTCTGAACACATACCTCAGGCAAGCAAATAATTGATGAGAATAAGTTTCTCTTCATAGAAGGTTTCCAGCTAATAAATGAAGGAAAAATGGAATAGTACTACTTTGTAATTGCCAGTGAAATAATAAGGGATCACCAGCGGGTACTAATATCATTAAGATAGAGATGAGCAGATATTATGTTCCTGTGCCTTTTGACAGAAGTAATCAGCACCTCTAAAGTATTCTTGCCCAAAAATTGAACCTGATTTTGATCAAGCTTTTAGACGTAACTTTGAATTTATAGGCAGTATGGAGACAGGAAAAACATGTTAAATGACATTATTGGGACACAAGCAGTGGAATCCATACTATGGGGCACTCTATAGGACAAACAACCTAGTTTCTTTAACAGATAAATTACAAGGGAATGACAGATGGATGGGGTTGTACCTGTAGTTTTACATATCAACCATGTACAAAATATGGCCCTTATGTGGTAAATAAAATTGAGATAATTGGAAAATATGAAAATTTAAATTCTGCCTGGATAATTAATGGTTTTAAGAAATTGCTATTAATGTAATTGTATTAGGTGAGATAATTGTATTGTGATTATGTTTTTCAAACATCTTTCAGAGTGGTGGTGGTTCTCAGCTGGGTGAGATTTTGCCTCTAAGGGGACATTTGACAGTGTCTGGAGACATTTTTGATTATCACAACTCAGGGGGTCTGGGAATGGTAATACTGGCAACTAGTAGGGAAGTGCTAGGGATGCTGCTAACATCCTACAGCTCACAGGACAGCCCCCACAACAAAGAATTATTTGGCCCAAGATATCAATAGTTCCAAGATTGAGAAACGCAGTTTTAGAGATTGATGCTGAAATCTTCCCAGAAAAAGTGATAGGTTTGGGTTTTGCTTCAAATTAATCTATAGAGAGGAAGGAAGTAGGTAGGGTTCTATATAGATGAGTTGATAATTGAAAATGGATGATGGCTAATATAGGAGTTAATTTTATTATTTTGTTTATATTTTTTAATGTGTTTACATTTTTTTTTTTTCTTTTTCTTTGGGACGGAGTTTCGCTCTTGTTACCCAGGCTGGAGTGCAATGGCGCGATCTTGGCTCACCGCAACCTCCGCCTCCTGGGTTCAGGCAATTCTCCTGTCTCAGCCTCCTGAGTAGCTGGGATTACAGGCACGCGCCACCATGCCCAGCTAATTTTTTGTATTTTTAGTAGAGACGGGGTTTCACCGTGTTGACCAGGATGGTCTTGATCTCTTGACCTCGTGATCCACCCGCCTCGGCCTCCCAAAGTGCTGGGATTACAGGCTTGAGCCACCGCGCCCGGCACATATTTTTATAATAAAAAGTTTAAAGTCTTTATTTCTTATTTTTTGAGATGGAGTCTCACTCTGTCACCCAGGCTGGTGTGCAGTGGTGTGATCTCGGTTCACTGCAACCTCCACCTCCTGGGTTCAAGTGATTCTTTTGCCTCACCCTCCCGAGTAGCTGGGATTACAGGCGCATGCCACCATGCCCAGCTAAGTTTTGTTATTTTTAGTAGAGACGGGGTTTCACCATTTTGGACAGGCTGGTCTCAAACTCCTGAACTGAAGTGATCCACCCACCTCAACCTCTCAGAGTATAGGAATTACAGGCGTGAGCCCCACGCCCAGCCAAAATTTTCATATGTATTTAAATGTGTATCTTTGAATATTCTTGGTAGTCTTGGTGAGAATGCAGAATATATAGTAGTGGTTTGATAAGTGGGTTTTTTCCTCCTTTCTTTGCAGATTATTGCTATCACAGCTTTGGTCCATCACAGTTTTGCATTAGATAAAGCAGCCCCGCAGCCTCCCTTTCAGTCATACTTCTGTGGTATGTATTTTTTAAAACTGATTTACTAATAGTTTGCTTTGAGTTTCCTTATTTTTTTTCTCCAGCTATTGGATTAGTAACTTGTTTTTCAAAAATTGTTTTCAAGAACAGTTAGCGCATATTGTTAAAGAGGGTTTTCTTTTTTTTTTTATTCATGGAAACCAAGTTTTATTGGATTGGTTTCCTCCTATTTAACTGGTTCATTTTTTTCTAGGAGCAGAAGTCTGGAGTCTTATTTGATATCTTTTTTTTTGTTCCAGTGGTTGCTGTATTGAGGCTGAGGAGTTCTTTTCTGGGTCAAAATTAGGCTTTAACTATTTTCTGATGTCATCCTAATAGCCCGTCATAGAAGCCTGATCAAAGTTTTCTGTGTGATGAGGCACGATGCCAAGGAATAAATATTTACCTATTTGGGAGGAGTTATAGTGATACCAATTGGAGTTGTGTTGTGCTGTGCATAAAATTCAGTGACTGAAACAATTCCACTGAATTCTGCATATGTGTTTTATGAGTCAGTCTCTATGGAGGATTTGGATATATTCCATGTTGAGAGCTTGGCCAGTTACCTAATCGTTTTGCTGTTTTTTAAAAAAGGGAATAATACTATTGATCTATTATATTTCCTGGGATCTTTCCCAGCCCAGAACCAGAGATTAAATTGGCCAGCTTCTCTTGTCTGGTTTTCTTGGGTATTAGGAAAATAGGACTAAAACATGCAGAGAAGGGAGTATGAGGTATGATTGTTGTGCAGTTTTACCCCTTAAGTGGGTGGAACACATGGAACAAAATGATGATGAGAATAGTGTGGAAAATACATTGAAGAAACCAATTACGAACTCATTTCAACACCTATTTATCCACTTCCTCCATGTATGTCACTATGTGAACCGCTGTTGTGTTTGGTAATGAACTTACAGTGTGTAATAGGGGAAGCTTTGTTCAACTTTACTCTCTGAAAAGGTTGAACTGAGTTCTTCCACTGTATGCTGCTTGGGGCATTGGTGGTGGTTATACTTCCTTTGAGGAAGACTGCTAAAACCTTCCATTCTGTCTTGAACGCATAGATAGCAAATGTTTCATCAAATCAGTTTTAATGACTGCAGGGACTTAAGGATCTGTGCTTGATTATACTTTTGAGGTCTGTCAACATGACTAGTGGAAGTATTTGATGATCCTCCTAATTCTTTAGGGATGGGGGGAATATAAGACAGTTTCATTTGGAAATGTGTACTATATGATTACCTGAAATTGAGTAAGATGGGTGTTGGAATCTTTATTTTTTCCTTTCTACAGTTGTGTCTAAACCAAAGGACTGTATTTTTCCATATGCTTTTAAAGAAGAGATTGAGAAAAAGGTAAGGAAGAGATTGAGAAAAAGGTAAAGAGCTCATTATATGAAGCACCTGTTTGTTTGGAGAGAGAAAGAAAAGGGGGTGATAGGAACTCGTAGAAAAAAGCTGTTTTATATTTTAATTTATTAGATTCATTCCTGCCAGATTGGATTATGACATCGGCCCATTAAAATGTATTAGACATATATACCTAGAAGCATTATTTAACAATGTTTAAATGTTTTACTATGTGAAAATAATGGGATTCTTTACTGTATTGGTAGATTGATAGGCTCAAATCCCCCTTCAATAGCTTAATTAGAAGCTTTTCTAAAATGCCTATGATCATATGATTACTATTTTGGGAAGGTGTTGGATAGAGTCCCTCCTCAGCTTGGGGAAAGCCAAGTGAAGTTGGGAATACTGTGGATGTTAAAGGGCCATGTGTTGGCAAAGTTAACATGGGCTGGCCAAAACTGATCAGTGATCTCTAAATTCCAGTGTGCTCCCTGAAGAAGTTTTCACGGGTCCTTAATAAAATGGGGAGGAATGTGAAGTAGTATAATGTAATGAATTTTTCATAGAGGTAAATATATTCAATAAAAAGAATTTTCTTTTATGGAGAGTATGTTGTTCTTTTACAAAGTGATGGTATTGATAACTTTTTTGTTTTGTTTTGTTTTTTAATGTTTGCACTTGACAAAAGTAAGCAACCTTTTCAGCTTCTACTTATTTTTTTTTTATTATTATTTTTTTTTCCCATTTATTTTATTGCATTTTAGGTTTTGGGGTGCATGTGAAGATCATGCAAGATTGTTGCATAGGTACACACGTGGCAGTGTGATTTGCTGCCTTCCTCCCCATCACCTCACTTATTTTATTTAATTGGCTTGAGAAGTCCAGTAGTTGGAGGTACTATTAGATTAGGCTATTATTTGTCAAGTGCCCTGAATTACCTAACCAAGTAAAATGACCTAGGAAAATTCCAATGGAGTCAAACTGACTTTTTTTTTTGAGATGGAATCCCATTCTGTTGCCCAGGCTGGAGTGCAGTGGTGTGATGTCAGCTCACTGCAGCCTCCATTTCCTGGTTCAAGTGATTCTCGTGCCTCAGCCCCCTGAGTAGCTGGGATTACAGGCTTGCACCACCACGCCCGGTTAATTTTTGTCTTTTTAGTAGAGATGGGGTTTCCCCATGTTGGCCAGGCTGGTCTGGAACTCCTGACCTCAAGTGATCCACCCGCCTTGACCTCCCAAAGTGCTGGGATTACAGGCCTGAGCCACCACACCTGGCCAAACTGACATTTTTTAACTGACCTAATTGTAGAAAACATATAACCATCAACTTCCATTTTTAGAGATTTTTAATGAGTGGATCTTTTGAATACCTGATTTATATTTAGTAATCCAAGTAGAAACCTTTTGTGTGAAGGTAGGTTTTGTTTATAGTTAAAACACTTATAATTCTTTTTTTTTTATTTTTATTTTTTGAGACGGAGTTTTGCTCTGCTCACTGCAACGTCCACCTCCCATTTTCAAGCCATTCTCCTGCCTTAACCTTCCAAGTAGCTGGGATTATGGGCATGTGCCTGCCACCATTCCCAGCTAATTTTGTATTTTTAGTAGAGATGGGGTTTACCATGTTGGTCAGGCTGGTGTTGAACTCCTGACCTCAGGTGATCCACCCACCTTGGCCTCCCAAAGTGCTGGGATTACAGGTATGAGCCACTGTGCTCAGCCAATTAAAATTCTTAAATGTGTTTGTTTTTAGACTGGTTTCTTATTTGTCAGTTCTTACCTTATCATTTGGGATTAGTTTATACAATCCTTGGGATTTCTTTGCCTGGTAAATACATAAACAGTGAAGTCTACCAGGGATTATATAGGAAAGTAATAGTTTTGATAGGTACTCTGATTTGTATGTTCTAAAATGTATCCAGATGCACAAGCATGTCCCTGTGGAGGGACATTTCTATGTTTTATGTTGCTCAGCACTTAAAATTTTGCTTTATTCACATGCTTATTACTAGAATGAGCTCCTTAGAGACTTTGCAATTATTACTGTGAAACCTAGAATCAGGAATTTCATTGTTACATTTAGTTTTGAAATGGATGGTTTCTTTTAACCCTAAGATAACTTACCGTAGTTGAACAAGAAGCCAAGGTACAGTACTTGTTGACAGTAAAGAGTTGTCAGTGACTTGTGTGTTTTTATCTAACAGAATGTGAAGGTTGAGGTTGCTGCAACAGAAAGAACACTGCTAGGTTTTTTCCTGGCAAAGGTTCACAAAATTGATCCTGATATCATTGTGGTGAGTAGATGTTTGATCATGTCATGGGGAAGCTCTTCATTTCTTAGTTATTTTCACTGTGACTTTATTGGTGCTTTTGAACAGCAAATAATCTTTTCGGAGTGAAATGATTCTATGGACTGGTGGGAATTGCTATACTTGCTGCTAGTAGGAGAGAAAAATAACAAGCCCACTGCAAGGTAGATTTTTTCCTCTAATACAAAAGCAACCTATGACTTAGTGTTGAAGTTAAGGATTCTCTGGCTATTTATGCTTAGAGACCAGCACATAAGTAAGTAAACGTGTGCAACCTGAGTTTGCCAAAATTTTGCTTTAGTAGCCCAGTTGTATGGTGGTCACAGGAGTTTATTAATTCACTTGATTTGGTGCAAATCACAAAACTAAGTACTTTAATTTTATGAACTCAGTGAATTTCTATGACATATACCTTTGAAAACTCAGGACTCGGAATATTTTTTTCTGTTGATGACCCAGTATGTCCCTGCTAGACAGCTTGAGCTAATAATTCATTGAGCTATTTTTTGCCCTAGTTCCTAAGAGTCCTAAAGCAACATTTTGCTTTATATGTCCTCTGACCTTCCTAGTTTGGAGAATATGGAATTCCTTCATTGGTCTTTTTTTCTGGGTTAATGGATCAATCAAATTATATATATATATATATTTTCCAGAGGAATGTAGGCTATAAATGCCTGTATTTTTAATGTGATATGAGTAATTTGGGTACATTGAAGTCTTGCAAAAATGTTTCCTATATTTTTCTCTACATTCATTTTTACTCTTGGATACCTTATCTGGCAACTGTATAGCTAGCTAGCATCTTGAGTTTCTGTGGATTGGAAGCAATATCTCTGCACCCACTTCCCTTATGATATTTCAAGACCTACCTTTAAAGTTCCAGGAAGATTCTGTGCACAGTGTTGTACTGTGGCATTCTGTCTCAGCACCAGGCCCTCAGTCAGCCTCTAGTAACAACAGTATCTTGGACCCCAAGGAGATGCCATGAAGCCTGGGAAACCTGGCCTGGCTTTGGGTGATAGAGCCAAGTCAATGTGTGAGAAATCTGGATGTAAGATGGAATTCTGACATGAATTTGGGTCCCTGATTCTAGGTATGATAATTTGTAAGTGATACTTCCTCAAGGCCTTTGGTCTTATAATTTAATAGGCAAAACTGCTATGAATATCTAGTGGTAAAATACACATAACATAAAATTAACTGTGTTGACCATTTTATAGTATACAGTTCAGTGGTATTAACTACATTCATAATGCTGTACAGGCATCACACCATCCATGTCTGTAAGTCTTTTCATCTTGTAAAACTGAAACACTGTACACATTAACTTCCCATTCCCCTAGCCCTTGGCAACCACCATTCTACTTTCTTGATTCTATGATTTTGACTACTCTAAGCAGCGGGCATATATTTTTAATTAAGTTTAATAACAAGTATATTTGTTGATCTGAATTGTTTTAAACTTCATCTAATTTTTATAAACAGAGGCAAGTGAATCATGTTCACATGTTGGAAATTATTATAGAGGTGAAAAATCTAGTTGCATATTTGAGATAATTTCTACTCTATATAGTTTTGTTTCTTTGTTTTTAACAAGTTTCTTATTTGCGCTATTTAGTGGTATTATATATTTCTCTTGTTGCATATCAATTATGGGTCTAAATCAGTAGTGTTTGAACTCAATTTTTAAAAAAGAAACTAAAGGCAGTTCCTGAGTTTTTGAAGAGTCTTGTGTAAACTGATAGGGCAGACAGGCTCTATGTTTTTAAGGAAGGAATATGGAATTATTTGAATTTAGCTTTTACTGATCACATAAAAAGTATGGGACGTTAAATTTGCATTTGCCTCCGAGACTGTGAGGCATGAGCTGCAAATTAAAAGACATCATATGAGCCTTGCATCAATTAGGATGAAATAAAGTTTATTCCAGCAATCTGCTTAGCAGCCTTGTTAATGTCAAGGCTAATGAATGCTGCTGATGAATAAATTCCTGAAGAAGAAAGGACCCCCAATCGGAGGTAAGTGCATGATGTCTTCAATTAGAGACCAGAAAAAGAAAGGGCAAAGAAATTCTGTGCATATGAAGATAAATCCTCTAATTTGCATTTGTTATAACGTTATCAGCTGCCTTCTTTTTCTGACTAGGGTCATAATATTTATGGGTTTGAACTGGAGGTACTACTGCAGAGAATTAATGTGTGCAAAGCTCCTCACTGGTCCAAGATAGGTCGACTGAAGCGATCCAACATGCCAAAGCTTGGGGTAATAATAATTTTCAAAATCTCTTTTATTTATTTATTTTTTAATGTGGGGTAGCTACCAGGGAACACACTATACTTTTTAAAATAGGAATTGGTTATCTTGTGATAGGAACTTTGGTACATTTTAACTTTGGCACTAAACATCTTTTCCTTTGAATTCAGCATTTTTTTTGTAAAAGCCTCTGGTGGTTTTAAAAATCATCGGTTAGAATCTAGGAATAGTGAACAAAGACAGCACATACATGTTACTTTCACTTTGTCATTCCTGAAGTGATAATCTTAGGGCAAGGTTGCATGGTTCAGAAGACGTTGAGGGTTATCATTTAGGAGGAAGATGGGAAGAATGAATGGAAGGGAGTTGATGTTGGTTGTATTAGAATGCAATATTGCTGGATGATATCTTGTAATAAAAAGAAGAAAGAAAAAGGAAGAAAGCAATAAACTAAGTGCTTTCTGTGTTAGTTACCTCTCGTGGCAACTCCAGTTTTATTTCATAGACAGTCTCATAGGGGTAACATAACTTGTTCTGGATCATGTAACTAGCAAGGGGAAAAACTGAGATTTTAACCCAGGCCTGTGTGACTCTTAAAGCCAATATATGCTTTTCATTTTACCTCCTTGCTTCATGTATGGAGGTTTTGGCAGTTTTTGTGTGAAGCACTTTCTTTCTAAACCTGATACTGCTCAGTGCTTGAAATCTTATTTTACTTAAAGCTTATAAATAAAATGGACATGTTGCCTCATCAGATAAGTTAGGAATCTGTATCTTTTTTGTAATGTTCTCTAGAGGATTCTGCCACTACAGATCAAAGTTGGGGCCACTGATCTTGCTTCTTTTCCGATTCCTATCTTTAAGGTGGTAGAGTTGTTATTAGCACTTCGTCTGAACACTTGCTTAGCTTTTTACCCCCTTCAAGATTTTCTTTATATGGCATCTTCTCAGTGAGGTCTGCCCCATTACCCTATTTAAGATGCAGTCTCCCCAAATTCCTTGTGCCCCTCACCCTGCTCTATTTTCCCATTTTCCATATACTTGCTACCCCCTAAAACGATATAGTTTCTTGTTTATGTTGTCTATTTTTTATTATACATTTCACATGAGGCTAGGAGTCTTTTATGTTTTGATCGCTGCTGTATCCTGAGTGCCTAGAATAATGTCAGATACATAGTAAATGTTCAAAAATGTTTGATTGATAAATGGGAGAACGAAAGTTATCATAATTTTGGGCCAGCTTTAAAATAGGTTAGAAAGAAATGTTCTCAGTGTCTGCTCTTTCATGAAATTTGCTTTTTGTTCCCATCTCGTAGGGCCGGAGTGGATTTGGTGAAAGAAATGCTACCTGTGGTCGAATGATCTGTGATGTGGAAATTTCAGCAAAGGAATTGATTCGTTGTAAAAGCTACCATCTGTCCGAACTTGTTCAGCAGATTCTAAAAACTGAAAGGGACGTAATCCCAGTGGAAAATATACGAAATATGTACAGGTATGATCCTAGATTCTTCAGAATTAATCTGTCTTGAAATTAACGATAGCAGAACACCAGTACTATTCTTAGTCTGGAGGGGCATGAGCCAGTGGTGCTGTAGAGGGGAAACTGTCTTTGTCAGTACTACCATCTCCACTGCTTTCATAATTTGAACTAGTTTACCTCTTGAATTATTGTAATTGATCAGTTTATCTCTATCTCCCTCATCTGTGTTAACACTATCTTAATGTTTCCTAACAGTAGTTTGGATTTAGATTTCTACTCTTAATTCATTTATTCAGGAATTAGGGTAGATACTTTGGAAATATAAAAACTGAGCAATCATTAAGTTATTTAGAGGTAGCGCTTGCTTATTTCTTCCTCTTACTCCTCTGGTCATCTCTCATTTGTTCGTTCCTGCTAGTTCTTCCTGAGTCGTTTCTTGGACTTCTTTTCTGACTTTGCCCCTTCTCTAGGTGGTCATAGTGAGTCTTAGGAATTTAAATATCATGTGGATGCCTATGCCTCCCACCTGTGTATCTTCAGGTTAGACCTCCCTAAATTCTAGAATCAATGTGCCTACTTACCTATTTTACTTGATATCTAATGTGAACTCCCAGCTTGTTGAAAACTGAGCTCTAATCTTCTGTCCTAGGTTCTTCATGTAGTCTTTCCTTACTAAATTAGTAAGCGTATTTTTCCGTTATCACTGGACACTTCAGAGTTTTACTTAGCCCAAAATCTCTGTGGCACCTTTGATTCCTCCCTCTCATATCCCACAGTAGATGCATCAGGGAATCCTATCAGTTCTATCTTCTAAATACCTCTAAGTCTGACCACTTCTTTCCGACTCTGTTGAACCCATCCTGTCCAAGCCACTATCCTCTTTCCTCTGGATTACTGGGTTTATATGCCTGTCCCCTTCCTTTTGCCCTTGCCCCTTTATAATCGATTCTCAATCCAGAACCAGAGTTATTATGCTAAAATCAAGTCAGATGTGGTACTCTGCCCAGAATCTTCCAGTGACTCTCTGTTTCATTCAGAGTAAGAACTGATGTCCTTGTTTTTGCTTATAAGCTCCATACAGTGTGTCTCTATGCCATTAACTCTGTCCTTATCTCCTACTGCTCTTTCCATTATTCTCTCTGATCCAGCTATATTGGCCTCTTTCCTAGCCCTGGAGCTGCCAGATTTGCACGCAGCTCTGGGTTTTTGAGTGTGCTGTCCTGTCTGCGTGGAATGCTCTTTCCATAAGGCTTGTTCCCTCACCTCTTCCAGATCTTTATTCTCAGTGAAATCTTCCACTGTTTCCTAGTAAAAATTTCAGTCTCTGCTTCTGATACTTAATATTCCCATTGCTTAACTTTTAACACTATATAACATACTATATACATAATTTCTTTTTCTTTTTTATACTCTTGTCTCCCCCATGAGGACATAAGCTCCAGGAGGATAGGAAGTTTTGTTTGTTTTGGTCACAGCCAACTCCTGGCACATAGTAAGCATGCAATATATACTCACTGGATGGAATGAATAAAAGGATTTAGATAGTTTTCAGGCTTGTAGTTATTATATTACTTCAGTTTTTCTTTATGGGAGAGAGAGAGAGAGAGAGAGAGAGAGAGAGAGAGAGTGAGTGAGAGAGAGAGAGAGAGAGTGTGTGGTGTGTGTGTGTGTGTGTGTGTGTGTGTGTGTGTGTGTTGGAGAAAAGCTTTGGGAACAATGGTATGAATGAATTCCTATTTACATACTGACCTTAAATTGTTTCTGAAGCCAAGATGCTGTTGCTCTGAATTTACTTACACCCGAAATTCCTTGTTACATACTGACCTTAAATTGTTTCTGAAGCCAAGGTGCTGTTGCTCTGAATTTACTTACACCTGAAATTCCTTGTAATAGTTTTTGAAGTTATGATTATAGGCATTGTTTCTTTTAATTATTTGATTCTGTTTCATTCTTACTTTTCTGTACAGTGAATCTTCTCAACTGTTGTACCTGTTGAAACACACCTGGGAAGATGCCAAGTTCATTTTGCAGATCATGTGTGAGCTAAACGTTCTTCCATTAGCATTGCAGATCACTAACATCGCTGGGAACATTATGGTAAATTTAACTTAGAGAGGGGGAAAAAGCATTTCCTGTTGGATTCAGTGTTTGCCTGGGGTAGTTGTTATATGATAATGAGTCTGAATGCATGCTTATAAAATGAGTAACTTGGATTCTGAAAGCTGGACTTCTTTTGTAAAGGAAGAACTGGTTGGGAGAAGGGGAGGAATGCCAGGTGCAGTGTGTTGAAATTGGGGCGAACATAAGGATCATCTCTCTAACATCTGGATGTGTCTGTTTGGTGGAATGGTCCATTTGGGAGTAAATAGCCAAGTTGTCAATATTTTAAGCTCTCTTTGTCTCCTTTAACTATAATCCTTAATGAAAATGTTAGGAATAATTTAGTACCTTTTTTTTTTTTTTTTTTTAAAGCAGCCTGTTGTTAGGAATGGTTTTGAAGGAGGTGATGTGACTAAACTTAACTGACTCAAGGTTGCTTTTGTTAGTTGTGGTTTTGAGCTCAAATTTTAAAAATAAATTCCATTTAATAGTCCAGGACGCTGATGGGTGGACGATCCGAGCGTAACGAGTTCTTGTTGCTTCATGCATTTTATGAAAACAACTATATTGTGCCTGACAAGCAGATTTTCCGAAAGCCTCAGCAAAAACTGGTGGGTCCAAAACTGTGTAGTATTTTGTTTCCTCTTATCCCCCACTTTTTATTACCTAGATAGCCTTTTTTTCTGTGATGACATCTGCTTTCAAAATAGCAAATCCCTTGTGTACTATAGAAACTGTGTCAAGTTTATTCCCTTGTATTTGTGTCATTTCCTTTTCCATTTTTCTCTGTGCAGGCAAAATTATTTGTGAAATAGGAAATTCTTTGAGGGAAGCATTAGACCTCTCTGATGGGTGACCATACGTGGAATGTGTTCTGGCACCTTAGCCCTCCCAAAGTTAAATGCCAGTTAAACTTTTTATTTTCTTGAACCTATGAGCCTTTATTTTTGTGTTGCATTTTTCTGTACTAGTATGATCAAGGTCACCCACAATTAGGTTTCTGAAATAGCCTCCATCGCTTTAGAACTAAAACTTTGTTTAGCTACTGTTTTATTAGCACTGATACGAATTGATGCAGAAATGGGAATTGAATGTTAAAATTTGATTCAGGTTCTCATATTTGCTTGTTTTTTTAACGTACATTATTAAAATTGGTACAGGGAATATTCATTTAGAGGACTTTAACTTCTGCTGAAGTATTTTATGTTGGCCAATAATAAACTACTTAGGAATGGATTTTCAGTATATAGATGTGCTTATTTTATGGTGTCCATATTAATAATAGGGATAATGATAATACCTACATGAAGTATTTTATGTTTTTACATCATGAATGTTAGAGTAGTGATTGTAAGAGGGCTGCTTTACAATCTCAAATTTTGTGTAATATGAAAAGTGGTATTTTCAGTATTCATTGATTAGAAAATATGAAACTCTATAAATTCAGAAGCACATAAAAATATAATTTTTGTATTTGTTAACTCAGATATATAGTATTTGCTTAAGAAATTACTATGCTTGGCATTCATTTGGATTCATGAACATATTACAATAGCTGTCTTTCCCCACAGATAGGACCACTAACTGAAATAATGTTTGTTAGAACTAAGTCCTGCAATTGGAAAAGAGAGAATCATAACAATTTTAAATTAATGAGTTGCTGTCTGGTGAAGTTGTCTTTGCATTTGATATTAGGGAGATGAAGATGAAGAAATTGATGGAGATACCAATAAATACAAGAAAGGACGTAAGAAAGCAGCTTATGCTGGAGGCTTGGTTTTGGACCCCAAAGTTGGTAAGCCTGGGCAGTGAATTGGTTTTTTCCCAGTATTAAGGGATTTCTTAATGTGGAACTAGGCTTGAGAAACTGGAAGACCTGAATTATATCTTATAGGTCAGCAAATAAGTCTTATGATGGCCTTACTTTTCTCTTTCATTCATGTGAAAATCTTGGTTGCCAGTCACCTGACATAGACTTAAGGTGAATTTTGTTATGCTGTGTTCCAATAAATTATGTATAGACATTGAAATTTAAATTTCATGTAGTTTTCATATGTCATGAAATACTGTTTTTAATTTTTTCCAACCATTAAAAAATGTAAAAACCATACTTAAGCTCATGGGTGGTACAAAAACAAGCAGTAGGTTGAATTTGGTCTGTAAACATAGTTTGTCCAATACATAGATAAGTAGCTGTCCAGGACATAGATAGCTGTTTGTCCTGACCAGTTCAGTTGACAGCGAAGTTAAAGACAGTGCAGACAGTAACCACCAAATTTAACTTTTAACAGGAGAATACCTTTTCCCTATTGTCATGAATGGCAAAGATGTTTTGTGGTACACAGAGCTAGAAATGATCTTTTTTTTAAAAAAACTTTTTGTTTTTCTTTTTCTTTTCTTTGCTTTTTTTTGGAGACAGAGTCTTGCTCTGTTGCCTAGGTTGGAGTGCAGTGGCACAGTCCCTGCTCACTGCAGCTTCCATGTCCCAGGTTCAAGCGATCCTCCTGCCTCAGTCTCCCAGTAGATGGGACTCCAGGTGGGCGCCACCATAGCCAGCTAATTTTTTTGTATTAAATAAAACATTTCAACCATTCTCAAATGTACAGTTCAGTAGTAGTGTTAAGAATATTCATATCGTTATGAAGGAATTAATGTGAATTTTATCAAATAAGTTAACTCTGAGTGGGAGACATTTTTGACAAAAGTGATTTTATTATAATGGAGCAGTAGTACTTGGTGTTATATAGGTCTGGGTTTGAATTCAATGTGATCTTGGGCTGCCTGTTTAACCTCTTGTAAGGCTCAGCTTCTTCTGTAAAATAGAGGTAAGAGTAATATCTACCACACAGGGATTTAAAGATAAATTAGTATAGTGCTGGACACAGAATAAACTATCAATATATGTTTGCAATTATTACTATCTTAATAGTGGACATTTATTTTTATTCAGTTTCTTCTCAAGGTGAAGATAACTCTTTGTAAATGTCCTAGAGAAATATAGTAGCTTTCTGTTCATCCTTTGCAAGTAAAAAGGGTGGATCGTTCCACTACTGACATTTATATATGTGTGTCTCTTATTTGATTTTAGCTCGGTTTATGTACAGGTAAATGTGCTGTCCATTTTATTTTTTGAAAGTGTCATTAAAAAATAAACCACTCAGCTGGGTGCAATGGCTCACACCTGTAATCCCAGCACTTTGGGAGGCCGAGCAGGCATATCATGAGGTCAGGAGATCGAGACCAGCCTGGCCAACATGGTGAAACCCTGTCTCTACTAAAATACAAAAAATTAGCCAGGTGTGGTGGCATGCGCCTGTAGTCCCAGCTACTCAGGAGGCTGAGGCGGGGGTATCTCTTGAACTCTGGAGGCAGAGATTGCAGTGAGCCGAGATAATGCCACTGCACTCAAGCCTGGTGATAAAGCGAGACTCTGTCTCAAAAAAATAAATAAATAAAAATAAAAAAGAAAACCACTCACTTGGTTTTATTTGGTGTGGGGAAGGGGAAAGTAGGTGGAAGGGAATTCTTGCTTTGAAGGAAAGTTTAACATTTTTTTTGAAATGGATGTGACACCTTTCAAATAAGTGGGACGGTGTTTGTTTGTAATAATGGTGTGTTTTGGGGACAGCTGGGGAAAGGACTGGTTGTGGCTGGTTCTAAAGAGAAGACAGGATTTTTTTCTCCCTCTTATTTTGTGATCTGGCTTTTCACTAAATTTACATCATTTTATGGAATGGTAGTTGATTTTTTTTTTCCTTTGTCTCTCAGCTTTGGATAGTATATGTGGATAGTATATAGTTTCTAATATAGTGCTTTTAATAATGATGTTTTGACTGTTCTGCTTTTCTTTAGACTTTTTATGATATTATGTGGCTTTTTAATTTCAGGTTTTTACGATAAGTTCATTTTGCTTCTGGACTTCAACAGTCTTTATCCTTCCATCATTCAGGAATTTAACATTTGTTTTACAACAGTACAAAGAGTTGCTGCAGAGGCACAGAAGATTACAGAGGTTTGTACTTAATCTAGGGCTCTTGAAATCGAGGTTAAAAGAATTACTTAAGGAAGGGAACCAAAGGGGTTAGCATTTTAGTTTTTCTTTTTTTTTTTGGTAGAGGCTGGGTTTTGCTATGTTGCCCAGGTTGCTCTTGGGCTCCTGGGCTCAAGCAGTCCACCTGCCTCAGTCTACCAAAGTGCTGGGATTACAGGCATGAGCCACTGTATCTGGCCTTTCCTCTTAAAGGATGCATTAATTATATCCTTTCTTAGTGGTCAAAAAGGAGAAGGGTTGGGTAGAAAGAGACTCAGACTGGTTCTGTATCTTTTAAAAATAGCTTTATTGTGGTATTATTCATATACCATATAATTCACCTGTTTAAAGTGTATGGTTCAGTGGCTTTTGGTGTATTCCCAGAGTTTGCAGCCATCGTCACAATTGATTTTAGGATATTTTCATTATTTCCCAAAGAAACCTTTTAGCTGTCACCCCCATCAATCCATCTATCCCTTCCACCTCTAGGCAACTGCTAATCTTTTTGCTTGTATAGATTCGTATGTTCTGGACATCTTATATAAATAGAATCATACAGTATATGGCCTTTTGGTGTCTGGCTTATTTCACTTAGCATAATGTTTTCAAGGTTCATCCATGTTGTAGAATGTACTAATACTTCATTCCTTTGTATTGCTGAATAAATTTCCATTTTATATGCATGTGTGGTCTATGTATAGGTGTATACCCCCCCCACACACACATTTTGTTCTTTTTTGTAATCTTTTTTTTTTTTTTTAATACATGGCAGAAGATGTCTATTTGCCCTCTAGCTCCTGAATTTATATGTCTTTTAGTTCTCACCACAAGCTTGGGGCCTGTTTTTCAATCCCAATTTCATATTCCCAGAAGAGAGAATTGGATAGGTTTGCCTAGGTTGGTGGGCACCCCGGGTCCCCGTTATCTGTAACCACAAGAGTAGGTTTACAGGGTACAAATCTGGCTGCTAAGGGTGGGCCTTTCTGTGAGACTAGTGGAGACCGTTACAGAGAAGGTACTGGGTAGACATCCCCAACAGGTATGACTGCATTCAATTAATATTTGAGCTCTGTCCTGCTACTGTGCCAGCATGGTGATGGTTAATATTATTTAGCCTCTGCCCACCACCATTTTGCTTATTGGAGTTTTCCAGCTTGGATTCTGGATATATAATAGAATCATTTTAGAGTTGGGAGGGACATCAAAAGTCATCTAAGAAATACTATACATGTAGCAGTTTATAGATCCTGTATCATTTTTATGCATGGTACCTCAGAACAGTGTCACACAGGTAGTAGTTGTAGAGCTAGGAGTAGATGGTAAATTTCCTGACTCTATATTCTTTCAGTTTACTTTTTATCTAACTTTCATAGTTGCTGTAAATAAATTGGAACGTGTACCAGGATCTCTTTAATAGGTTTACTATCTTCATCTGTTATATTGGAAAGCAATAGGTCCCTATTACTATTGTAAGAGCGTTTCACTTGAAGATATTGATCTCTGTAAAATCAGATGCTTTGTAAAGGCTAGGTTATCAAATGGCATTGACTTGGCATACTTTAAATCAAGAGGTTTATTTTTAATTCTGAACCTTTAAAAGGGCAAATGTGCCTGGCTTTTTTCTTTGTAGCCTGTTAATAGAATTAATGGAGGCTTGAGAAAATGGTCTAATGCTTTCCCTGCTTTTTCCTGCTGTAAATTTTAATATAAGAAGACTGTTGGTTGCTATTCTTCTGCCGACTGCGTGGCAATTTGTAGGCAAAAAGTACTACATAAATGTTAAGGGATATATATATGTTAGTTTTTAGAAATGTCATGGCCTATTTAAATGTGCTCCAAATGCTAAAAGAAATTTGCTGATTTAGTATTTGGCTTTTTATTTTTAGTCTAGAGCATTTACAATAATTGCTGTTATTCTCCATAGTTTTTACAATTCTATAGCATTTTGTTTGGTAGTAAAAAGGATTTAAAATAGTAGTTTAGCTGCTGGTTTTTTTTTTTTTTAAATCCTGGAGGCCTCTTTTAGTGTTTATATTTTAAAAACAATTTCCTCAAACATGTTGTTCTCCAGTCTTGTTGAAGAGAGTTAGTAGCATTTGTAAAAATATATCCCTTTAAATGAAATCTAAATATGTGTCTAACTACAAGGGTGAGAGATATTGGGAATGACAGACTAATATAATTGGGAGAGATGAGGGCAATGGTGACCTGTTCTACAAACCTCTCAGCACCTTCTTATACTACCCATGCATTGTTGACCCTTACTTGTATAAGAGAATAGCTTTTCAAGATGTGATCATGGGGGAAAGCGCCTATAAAATATTACTGTAGAAATTTATTTCACAAAAGTTTGATTTGTATGAAATTTCTGTTGTGTGTTTATCAGGATGGAGAACAAGAACAGATCCCTGAGTTGCCAGATCCAAACTTAGAAATGGGCATTTTGCCCAGAGAGATCCGGAAACTGGTAGAACGGAGAAAACAAGTCAAACAGCTAATGAAACAGCAAGACTTAAATCCAGACCTTATTCTTCAGGTATATCTATACCTTTTCACTAAGAAACATTTGAGTGACAGTCTCAGCTTTTAGAATTTGATTATTTAGGAGTAAACAGGATGCTGGGCAAATGCAGGTACTTATTTTAAGTTTGTGGGTAGGTGACCACTTAAAAATACTAGAGTCCTTCAGAATGGAAGCCACCTTTGTCTGCAAAGGTTGTATCTGAACAAGATACTTCTGGCTCCTGGGAGCTTTGGATTCTGTGTTTACTTGCTTCTAGGAGGTTAGGGAATCATTGATCTGGGTGGATGGGTTGAGTGTGTTCTTTTTTATTCAGGGATATTGCTGGTTTCTCTTTTTATTGGAGATTTAGAAAGACATTAATGTAATACTTAAGCATCTGTAAATATTGTTGTTTGTCTTTTGTTCTGTGTGGCCTGCAGTATGACATTCGACAGAAGGCTTTGAAGCTCACAGCGAACAGTATGTACGGTTGCCTGGGATTTTCCTATAGCAGATTTTATGCCAAACCACTGGCTGCCTTGGTGACATACAAAGGAAGGGAGGTAAATGGCAGAATAACATTTACATCTCTAGATATGAGAGTATTTTTAACTTTACCTGTTAGAGTGTGGGAGAGTCAAGTTTATTACCTAGTTATACAGCATCAAAGATAGTACCCCTCTCTTTGGATGACAGGTTTGAGACAAATAGGCATTTAAATAAGGATTCGTGTGTGTGTGTGTGTGTGTGTGTGTGTGTGTGTGTGTGTATGTATGTATGTATGTATGTATCAAGCAAGAAATAAAAGGTAAAAGGTCCCTGTTATCATGAGGCTTACTTTCTACCCAGATTGGGAGGAGATTGGGGGTGGAGACGACATGAGTTAGGAATGTGGGGTGGAGAGAGGGTGGTTTGGGAAAGCAGACTGTAAATAAGTAAATAAACATATATAATAAATAACAAAATATGATAGAAGGAAATGTTCTGCAGATAATTAAAACAGGGTGGTGGGCTAGAGAATATTTAGATGGCTAGTTTATATTGGTCAGGGAAGGCTTCTTCGAGGAGGTGACATGAATGAGACCTAAGTGACATAAGAGAGCTATTTTTTTTTGGCTGATGGATTAGCTTGGAGTGTGAGTGAAAGGTAGAAATCAGGTGGCTAGCTAGCAGAGCCTTTTACTAAGATGGAGGAAACCAGGAAAGAAGGATTAAGAATTCTGTTGTGGATGTGTTGCCTTTGGCCTGAGTAATAGATCTCCAGGCATAATAAGTGGGCCATTAGATGTATAAACCCAGAATTCCAGAATATGTCAAGACTAGAGTAATGGATTGCGAGTTACTGGCTTTAGTAAGACGGGCCAGATACCAAACAGAATTTAGGTACTGTCACTTTATGAACACTGTAAGCTTCAACTGTTTGAATACTATGGGTGTGGGTTTTTCTTAATTTGTAAAAGAATAATTATGCTGAATACTAAATTTCATTTATCTCCATGTCTGTGAGTTTAAGACTATTTAGTCTTAAAGGAGGTAAGCAGTGGTCATGGGAAAAATGCTTGTATTGAGGGTCTGGACTCTGAATGCTCTAGAGCAGGGGTTGGCGAATGATGGCCATCAGGCCAAATGCAGCCTGCCATCTATTTTTGCAAATAAGGTTTTATTGGAACAGAGCCAAGCTCATTTATTTATGTATCATCTGTGGCTGCTTTTGTGTTATGAGAGCAGAGCTGAGTAGTCAAGATGGAGGCTCGCACGGCCTGCAATGCTTGATATATTTACTCTCTGGCCTTTTTTAGAAAAGTTTGCTTCTGCTTTAGAGTTTAGACCAGCTTTGTCCAGTAGAACTTTATGATGATGAAAATGTTCTCCATATGCACTATCCAGTGCAGTAGTCTCTAGCCACAAGTGGCCAGTGAGCTCTTGGTATCTGTCTAGTGCCAACTAGCTGAGGAACTGGATTTTTAGATTGCTTTAATTATAATTAAAACGAATTTAAACTTAAATAGACAAATGTGGCTAGTGGCAACTGTATTGGACAGTGCAGATATAGCTGGTGTATGAAAGAAATGTCAGGATGTTCAGAATCACTCTTCTGTTGGCAGCCCTATCTCAAAAATTTGACTTAGGGCACAGGGAGGAAGGGCAAAACATGTACTGAACACCAGTGATGTGATAGAAGCTTTCTTATGCATTATTTCACTAAATTACGCAAGAATCCTTTGAAATAGATAATAATGTTCTCATTTTTTAGATGAGGAAGTTAAAACTCAAAGAGATAAAGTATAACAAGTGGCTATTTTGAATGTAAATCCTTTTAGTATAGTAGGGTTGTCGCTTCCATCTCAAGATGTCTTTTATGACTGTGGTTTTGCTTTATATTCTACCTCTTATTACAGGGAGATCACGATTTTTGGTACTCATCTCAAGATACCGTCCTTTTTTACATGAGAAAGATATAGGTGTTTTAGGGGCTAGTTGAAGTGAGGGAAGGGAAGGATGTTTTTTAGTTTCTTAGGCTAAGTTTACTTCAAAATTATTTAAATTTTATTTCTTCACGTGTATCCAGTGGCTTCTGATGGAATACCATCTTATTTTTGTATTAGGAAATGCACTCACTATGCCCCAACTGGGTGATAATACATGGGTTGACTATTGAGATTGGATCAAGGTTACTCTTAAGTTTCTCACGAGAGGCAATAGTTGACAATTTACTCCCTTGGAGAGTGCCTCTTGCTGTTGGGAAATCCCTGTTGTTACATTTTCTGCATTGGCTCAGAAATCCACAAGCTTAAAAGGGCACTGTTGATAATAATAAGCCCCAAATTTGTCCAGTGATCTCCCCCACTCTCCTAATCCATTGTATCTTAAGGGCAATGGTTTTCTTTAGCTGGATTTTTAATGGGGAGTTTAAACACAATTTTTATCTCTCTGTTATATAAAATATAACAATAACAAATCTTTAATAAATGAACTATAAAAAACCCCTGTTCTCTCCATTAAAAAGCAAAGAATTTCAGACAAATCTAGAACTACTTGTATGTGATTTAAATTCTTGGTTTCTGCTTTCTTCTTTTCTCTTTTCGCTTTGCTCTTTGCCTCAAATAAGATAGATAAAACTCTGGAAAGTAGGCCTTTAAAGTGATATGAGGCTACTGAGAAATAATAATTACACAGTTTCTCCCAGGAAATCTTATTGTAGGAGAAGATCCAAAGTCACTTACAAATATTAATTCCTAAAATAAAAATGATTGTTGAAGTATTAGTGATAATTGTTAGCACTGGTGGGTGGAAGTAGCCTATGGGATAATCTTTCCTTGGGTTTGCTGGTTTTTCCCGTATATACTATTGAGTCTTTGTGATTTTTCAAGCGTCTCATAATTATTAAAGAGGTAGGAAGAGTGAAGTGAAAATGAGAGCCAGTTTGCTGAGATTTTGGACTACCTTTGTAACTTATTAAGCTAGTATTTTTTTGTGACAAGATAGAGTGAGCCAGATAATGTCGTAACCTGCAGATCTTAAAAGTTCTTTGCTTTTATCCTTATGGGATAAATTAGATTAAGGTTCAAGTGGAAATTAATGAGAAGGAAACCTGGTAGCATGCCATTACAAAAGATTATAAAATTTTATATTTGGATATGGATTAAATCACAGCCTAGGGAGGCCTTGAAGCCCCCTTTTCCTTTTTATTTTTAAGTCTATTTTGTGTTTGCTCACTTTTGTTGGAATCGTGCAGGTTTGACTCTAGTGACCTAATAATTTCTGTAATCAAATGTATTATGGCTCCTAGAATACTCAGAGTAATTACTAATTGTACTTTTAAAAACAGGTTTGTAATAAAAGTGCTAATAGTTGTGTCAAATTGGCATCAATATTGTCTTTTCACAGGTGTGATCTTTCACACTTAAACTCTTCCATGATCTTGAATTGCTTGGTGATAGAGGAATGAGCTAATGGGTAAGGAATTGTATGAGGGATCTCACAGTGTGCAAGTTATTTAAAAGTAATGAAGTCAGTATTTTAGAGAAGTACTATGTGAATCTATACAAATATCATCTGTATTTGTGTTAGTTCTCAATGCATGTGTAGAGAGGCATAAAAAAAAGAGATTGGACAAGCATATGGCACTGAGTGGACATGTATTTTTAAACCATGAAAAAAAGGGGTATCAGTTGTCAAATGTCTGATGTGGTAATTGAAGTGATTGTTCACTAGATGGCGATAGACACCCTGAGATCATTAATCAATTAAGGATTTTATTCTGTGAACAATAGTGAAGGTAATTTAATGGGTTAAATCTGTCCACATTTTAGACTTTTATTAGTTTTGGAACTATTAAAGAAAAGCTAAAACTGGCCCAAAGGATTGTAATACTCTAGTGTTTAAAATAGTGATGATTTTTTAATCATTAGTTATATTGATGGTAACAGTAATTTAATTTATCATAGCAAGTTAATTATATGAAGTAGCTAAATTCTGATTTCTGGCCATGGATACACAATACGTGACTTCCTCAGTCACATTATCAGAAGCTAATCTAAAGGGAATTGGAAATGATTTTGATATATAATTTTGCCTTTTTGAATTTGTTGTTTTTTTATTGAGAATATTTTTTTTCTTTCAGAAACAGGGTCTCACTTTGTTTTCCAGGCTGGAGTGCAGTGGTGTGATCATTGTTCACTGCAGCCTTGAATTCCTGGATTCAAGTGATCTTCTCGCCTCAGCCTCCATAGTAGCTAGGACTACAGGCATATGCCACCACACCTGGCTTATTTATTTTTACTTTTTGTAGAGATGGAGTCTTGCTGTATTGCTCAGGCTGGTCTCCAACTCCTGGCCTCAAGGGATCCTCCCACCTTGGCCTATAACACCTGTAGTGTTATAGGTGTGAGCCACTGTGCCTGGCTTTGAGGAATTTAAAACTGACTGTGTACTTATAAACGTACTCATTGCATAACTTTAGTTTAGTGGGAATATTTGTCTTGATAGAATAATTAGTACTTATTGACATTAGTATTGCTTTATTTCTCTCTTATTTCTGTGTCCTTGTGAAAACCATTTTTGGTCTGGATTTTTTTATTGCATTTTAAAATGTGTGCTCTGACATTTAGGTATAGAGTTCATGCATTTTCATTCTCCTACCTTACAGGCTGAAATGAGTCTTTGCCAGCCTGCTTGCCAATTGGTCGTAGACTGCCTGGCTTTGAGTTGTTTGGAACTGGAATTTGTGCATTTAAAAAGTGTATCCAAATCATTAATGCAAACATTACAATCTTGGCAAGACTTTCTGGGATTTTCTTGGTGATATGGTAGCATCTATCAGGATCTCTTGGGAATGACACTAGCACAAAGGGCTCTAGCCTTTGTTGGTGTTGGTGATGGAGAATGAGTGACCGTGAAGAATTTTACAATTAAATACTAAGGAAGTCTTTGATCTTTACCTGTAAATAAGCAAAAATTTTACTTTTGCAATTTCTTTTCTTAAAAATAGCTTAGTTTTTCTTTAAATAATTAAAGGCAGTAAAATACTGTAGAGACAACTAAAGACCATTTCCTCCCCATC